CCTTCCTCAAAAGATGAGAGTAAAATTTTCCTTTTTCCTTCAACCCTTTCTCTTTATTCAGTATACCTATGTTGAGTCACTACTGTGTTTAAAACCCTGGGCTAAGTCTAGTAGTATAAAGATGAATGACATCATTGTGTAGCAGAGACAACAAGTCATATAATCAGGGAATGAACAAAATGCTTTGAGAACGCTGAGGAACAAGCAATTAATTTTGTCTGAGGGGCTAGTAAAAACATCACAGAGCAAGTAACTTATGTCTTAAGAGAAAAACATGATTTGGGCCATGCTTTTTTTCTCCTTTGAAATGTAATTTAGAGAGCAAATCATGGGACGCATACAACAATAAGGCAGGGAAAGGTGGGGGCCATTACCATTTCTTTTAATGCCTTTTCACACCACCAAAATGTCTTCAACTACTGCACAATGGTAGAAATATATTTTTACCTGCAGGCTTTCTTCTTGTAGACTTTTCAAGACCAGTGCTAATGTATCAGTGAAATTAATGGAGCATTTGGTACTATTAACCTCACCCCATTTTCTATTCCCTCATGCATGTGTGCCTCTGGATGCAAACAAGTTCAAATGCCAGCTGACCTAGTTGGGTGGGTGGGAAAAGGAAGTGGTGCTTAGAGTCTGTTGCACACTGGAAGGGGAGAGGCCCTTTTCCTGAATCTGGCTCAGTGTAAGGCAATAGAATCTTCAAGGTCGTATTACAATTCCTGACTTCAAGTCCACATCAGTGGTCAGAGAGAGTCTTACCTGGAATATGTTCTGTAAAAGAGAACTGTGTTTCCTCTAACTGCCCATCCAGACAAGGGACTTGAAATCAAGTAAGAAATCTTATTTCCTTTTTCATAATCCTACTCAAAAAGGAGGAGATATTTGGAACAGTTGCTCTGGGAAAAGGGAAAATACCCCAGGCCTGAAGGTAGAATGATTCTAATTTTAGCTTTGAGTACAAAACACAATCTGTGAGTCACTCCTTCCTGCTACTGTACTTGTAAAGTTGTTCATTAGTTACAGTGATGCAATGAGAAGCCTAGTCCCCGCCCCGTTAGGCTGTAACTCTAGAATGACAGTCTGTTTCTGGTCTTTATGGAGTCCCTCATCTCCCACATTCATGGCCCCATCTGAGTTCCCATAGTACATGATGTATTATTTTATGTTTAGTCGTCTTCCGTATCTCCCACACTCCCCGTTGTTCACCAAACACCAGCCAATGGCTTCCTTTCTACACCTCACATAAGAACACACCATGTTCATTCTGTCCTTAGACTCACTATCAATTTCTTAAATGACTTTCTCTTCCAACCTTCCCCAAACTCAGATATCACCTCCTCAGAGAACATTCCATGACTGCCTCAATGCTCCTCCACCACCACCCAGCCTCAGTTGCTCTCTACCACATTGTCCTCTATTTCCTTCCTAACACAGTACAATATCTTATTCTGTTGGGTTTCTCTTGTTTTTCAGTAAAACCAATACTTTACTGTTTTTTCACATAAACATTCTCATTAAGCAATATTGTACTATGGTGTGTAAGTTTCTATTGGTAAAAGAACGAAATCTCATTTAGTTTCTTTTTTTTAAATTTTATGTTATTATAATAAGAGCACTTAACATGAGATCTACCCTCTTAAATTTTTAAGTGTTCAACACGTTATTGTTAACTTAGCTACAGTGTGGTACAGCAGGTTCAACCTGTTTAGCTGAAACTTTATGCCTGTTAATTAGCAACTCCTTCATTTACTCTTACCCCCAACCCCTGCTAACCACCATTCTACTGTCTGATTCTATGAGTGTGACTATTTTAGATTTCTCACATAAGTGGAATCATGTACCATTTGTCCTTCTGTGACTGGATTATTTCACTTAGCATAATGTCAGGGTTCTTCCATGTTGTCACAGAATTTCTTCTTTTTTAAGGCTAAATAATATTTAATTGTATATATATATATATATATATATATATATATATATATACCACATTTTCTTTATTTATTCATCTTTATCCATTCATGGACATTTAGGTTATATCCACATTTTAGCTATTGTGAATACTTCTGCAATGAACATGGTAGTGCTGATAGCTCTTCAAGATTTTGATTTCAATTTTTGTAGATAAATACCCCAAAGTTGGATTGCTGGATCATATGGTAGTTCTACTTTTAATTTTTTGGAGAACCTCCATACTGCTTTCCATAGTGGCTGCACCATTTTGCATTCCTATCAACAGTGTACAAGAGTTCCAATTCCTCACATCCTTGCCAACATTTGTTGTCTTTTGTTTGATATTGTGTTGTTTATTTCTTCAGTTATTAACACTTATCGCTCCTGATCAGAACATAAGCACCACAGGACAGAGCCTTTGTCCATGTTCTTTACCCCATCACCTCAGTGCCTATAGCAGTGCCTGACACACAAGGCTTTCAGTAATTACTATGTTGAATGGAGAACAAACAGGGTGGTTGGCCAACTGTATCAGGATGATTGCTCTGATGACAGAGCTTGAAAGAAATCCAACTACTTCCTCCTCGCTGTTTCTATTATTTTAGAAAAGGGTTGTAAAGGAAAGCGGACCAGATGATTCACACAAGGCCTTCCAGGTAGGCGGTACGAGGTTGAAGACACTGTGAGGCAGAGTCTAGCCCTCAGTTTTCTTGAGTCAATCAGGAAACAAATCTTTCAATAGATGTGTTTGTCATAGAGTGTGGGACTGGGATTCAAAAGCCCCGATACTAACCCCAGCTATGCCATTAATTAGTAGCTGTATGACCTAAGGTAAGCCACCTCCCTTTTATGAGTCATGGTTTTCTCACCTTAAAATTAAGGGGTAGGACTGGAAGGCATCTGGGCTTCCTCCCAGCTCGGGTTGTTGAGCAATGAAGGCCGTTCACTTATAGGTGAGCCGTACTAGAGCCTGGGTGGGTCCCCTGAGACACTCCCTCCTACCAGGAGATTCAATCTGGAGATGAAATTAAAGCTGAAAGGGTAGCTTGATGAGTGTAACATAGAGAACACAGGGAGTTAAATATTGTCAAGGAGTATTTCTATTAAGCCTTGAGAAGTAACATGACGGATTCTGCTCAAAATTCTTCTGTGCTCAGAAAGAGGATTTATATTGAAAGACCTGGATACAAAACCTATATCCAGGGCACCCCATCCTCCAGTGACGGAAAACACTGGCCCAGATATGTTGCTTCCTTGGCTCTTCTTTTTCTTTGATCTTTTCTCTTCATCCAGTATTTAGATTCTAATGATTAGATTTCAACTGTCTTTAATTTAATCACACCCATCTTTCTATAAAAGATATTGATACCAATATCAGAACTATATTTAAACAAAACAAAAATAATCTTACAGATGGTATGTTTTTATAGGAATATTAGGAAAGAATGTTTGAAATCGGGACTATTCTGAAATCATGCACTGGTAAAGTTCCTTTCAGAGGACAAGATAGATGCATCAATGGACTTTAATGTAACAGGATATAGTATATAATGGTTTCAGACTCCAATAAACCTCTAAGAAACTACCATTTGTTGAGTTGCAGTGTCTTATCAAAGAAAGATATACACACTCACCTAAAAGGCTATTAAAATACTCCTCCCTTTTCCAGTGACATATTTGTGTGTACAACATGGTTGTACAAGAAAGGAAATGTAGTTATGGTACGCTCCAAGGCTGAGCTGAGAATAATATTTACATAGTCTTTAAAGTGTAAACTCTGGGGACTTCCCTGGTTGCACAGTGGTTAAGACTCCGCGCTCCCAACGCGGGGGGCCCACGTTCGATCCCTGGTCAGGGAACTAGATCCCCCATGCATGCCGCAACCAGGAGTTCACATGCCACAACCAAGGAGCCCACTGGCCTCAACTAAGGAGCATGCCTACTGCAACCGAGACCCAGTGCAACCAAATAAATAAAATAAATATTAAAAAAGTGTAAACTCTGACTTTTAATCTAATTAAATTTCATAACAGAGCTTGTTGAGAAGATGGGAGGAAAGGAAGCTGGGGAAATTACGGAGTAAATATCTAAAACAAAAAGAATGAAAATGCGTTACCAGCATGTTTGGAAACAGGGGTACATACAACAGAAACAGCCAGGATTTGGAAGTGTTTCTGGGGAGTGGCAGTCGAGAATGGGAAACAAAAAGCAAGAAAGTGTAGAACTATTTTTATCATAATTCCTGTAGAACTGTTTAACCTTTTATTAAATATGTAATACACAGCTAATTAAAATAAATATTTAACATATCAAAGTACATATCAGTCCAAGTTATATGGAGTGCAATTTGGAAACGTGTTAACATTTAAACTGAGAATGCCCGATGACCCAGCAATCCCATTTCTAGAATTGTATCCAGCCATGGGAGATCAGTTAAATTAACAACGCTACATCCACACGGTGAAATATTATGCAGTTAGTTACTTAAAATAATGAATCATTAAAAATAATGTAGATTTTCATCTGAAGAAAGAGGTTTCCTCCCCTGGCATATCTTTCCTTTAGAGCAGTATCCCCATGTATAGTGTTATATTTGTCAGTGTGACTTTTCACTGAAGGTCTGACTCTTGCGGTGGATTCCAAGCTCCAAGAGACCAGGAACCATATCTCACTTGGCTCACTGCTGTGTTTGTTCTTAGTGCTTTGCACAGTATCTGGTACCTGGAAAGCTATTGGATGAATGAGTGAGTATGTGTGAGCATGCATACAGATGTTGACAAACTTCTAGAAGACTGAAACCGTTAGGTAGGGCTTATCTCTGGGTGGGAGAGTTACAGGTCAAACCTGTGTTTACACCCCTGTTCCACCACGACCTTGGGCAAGTCCCTTATCTAAGCCTTGGATATAATGACAAGAGGTCCTCAGTTATCCAATTAAATACGATTCCTTGTAAATGCCATATAAATGTTTAAACTTCTAAGTTATTTTAAATGTCCTCAACTCTCAGACCACAACCTAATACATTCTGGCTTTTATTTTTTTATTAGTGAACTTCTGCAAGACTTGGAAAACTGTGAAAATGATCCTGTGGCCATAGCAGAATGCTTTGTGTCCAAGGTAAGCAGGGTTCATCTCTCTGAGCCAACCAAGACAGAGACAGAGCACACATTGTTTTCATTTTAAGGTTAAAATGACCATTGTGTTCCATATTGGCTGAGGTTCACCACTAATCTCTCTCACCCTGAGGGGTTTTTTTCTCCCCACTAGCTAGGGAAAAAAAAAATACAAAACACAGTTCCCAGTAAGTTAGGAAATGCTAATAACTTAGTAGTTGTCCTAGAACTTGTATAGTAGCTAAATGATGTTACATATCTTTCCTAGGAAAAACTTTAAGCTTGGGAAGAGGAGAGTCCAGATTAGAGAAATGTTAGAAAAATAAGTACATACACAATAGACCAGTTACAAAAATCTGTTAGAATAGAAATAGTGTTTATATATTTATGGCAGTAGCCTAGTCATTAGGGGGATAAAGAGGGCAGAATTAGTCTCCTGCATCTTAAAAATGCACTCTAATTTTCCTACATTTTTCTTAAGTTGCACTGATGGTTTAGAAAAACACAAGGAAAGGATTTGAATTTTAAATCTTAAACGACAGTTTATATTCTGTACCCAGATAAGAGAGAGAATTCTGAAACTTACAAGGGAATCCTTTACAATAGCGGTCCCCAACCTTTTTGGCACCAGGAACCCGTGTCATGGAAGACAGTTTTTCTGCGGCGTTTGGAGGGGGGATGTCTCAGGCGGTGATGCGAGCAATGGGGAGCGATGGGCAGCGGCAGCTGAAGCTTCACTCGCTCTCCCGCCGCTCGCCTCCTGCTGTGCGGCCGGGTTCCTAACAGGCCGCGGACTGGTACTGCCCCGCAGCCCAGGGATTGGGGACCCCTGCTTGACAACATTACTTTCTCGACATACTACCTACTGTATATAGAATCTTACGTTTCTCTTAAAAATTCAACAGCTTTTGTTTAGAAAACCTCTAGCAGAAATTGTTTTTGCAGCAGAACTTCATGGGATTTTTGCAGTTGTGGTTTCAAATGTGCAAAGGTTGAAGCAAAGTTCATGACTGTGCTTTGGGGTAGCCCAGAGTTAGCACCTCATTTAGAATCCTGGAGTCCAGTGTGAACTTGGAGATGTCCTCCCAGCCTGACTGGGCTCTGAGGTGGTTCCACAGGGTCATTTCTGATGATCCAATGATTTGAATCCAAACATAACACTCTAGGTTCTACTCAAGTGTGGTTCCTTAAAGGCAGTGGATGGGCTTGTGTATAAAACACTCCTGACTTTGTGGGTGCGAGTGTCTGTGCCCACACGCTTACACAATTCTTTTCACAAGCGGCCTGTGTTAGAGTGAATTCTCCTGCAGGGTGGGAATTTGGAAGAGAGAAGGAAAAAGAAAGAGGAAGAAATGGGTAAAAAGATACGCTGAGGGGCTTCCCTGGTGGCGTAGTGGTTGAGAGTCCGCCTGCCGATGCAGCGGACGCGGGTTCGTGCCCCGGTCCGGGAAGATCCCACCTGCCGCGGAGCGGCTGGGCCCGTGAGCCATGGCCGCTGAGCTTGCGCGTCCGGAGCCTGTGCTCCGCAGCGAGAGAGGCCGCAACGGTGAGAGGCCCGCGTACCGCTAAAAAAAAAAAAAAAAAAAAAGATACGCTGAGTATATCAAAGAAGCTGTGTTACAATCACCATGGCACATAAACAACATAGAAGCTTTTGGAAACATTGGGGCTTTTACTGGTAACTGTAATCACACGTTGATTAAAGCTGGTCCGGCGTACGCTTAGCTCTGGCCTAATTATTCACATAAAAGTTTGTTGATGTGCCAGGTTGCCAGCTCCCAAATCTGATTTCTCATTGTGATATTGCCAAGTTTAATTAGAAGACTGATTATAGCGCTCCACGCTCTGGTGTGCGAGCCGGGAATCGCGAGGGAGTGTGGGGCCTGGCACAACCTGCTTCTTACTCAGCACCCTGAAATTTGGAAGATGTTACACTTCTGACACACAGCCAGCTGCTCCCCTCTGGGGAGGAATGGAAAATCGCTTTAATTGAGAGGCCGTTAATGAAAGAGGTAAAGCTGGCAGCTGCCATCTGCTTTTATCTGAGTCACTGGGGCTTCCACAGAGAGTCATCTCTGACCTTGCTTTTGTGGTATGGAGAGGTGACAGCAGGAGGAGAATACAGGACTTCTTACCTGCTGCTGCCCATAGAAGAGCAACAGGAGCTGTTGTTGTTGAAGCCATTCTCGCGAGGGATGGGAAAAGTCCTTACCAGGCAGACGGAGCTCTCTCCCAGCTCAGTGTTTCTCCGCTCTTAGGACTCTGGAAACACCTGGAACAGGTTTCCTTGGTCTCCTGCCTTCACCTCCACCCTCATTTCCATCCCTTATCATGACTGTCAGCCAGGCTGACCCTGGGAGGAATTTAGGAGGGAGACGAAGTTCGTCTTCAGAGACCCAGCCTCCCCTTATCCTCTTCCTCTCCCCTGATGCGCGGCCCCCTCCCCACTGGAGCCTTTCTCTCTTCAGTGCCAGGCACCACCACCACTTGCTGAAATGATCCTCAAGAAAGTGCTGGTATCAGATATTGGTGTGATTGGAGTGCATTCAAGTCAGTGTCACCTTACCCCTGTGCTATGGACATAGTCAGCCTTTCTCATGGTGTCCTGTGAATAGTACCCAGGAATCAATGAGTGAGTGTGTGTGTGTGTTTTCTATACTCTGGTTATTCATTCAATAAACATTCAGATCCCCTGTGTGTTCGATTGGCCAGCCGTGACTATCGTGTTTTGGTTCTTTCATAATTAAATGTCTCATTTTGACATCATCTCTAATTGCAACTTGAAAGAGTTGAATAACCAGAAGAAAATATCTATTTTTGTATCATTTCTTGTGTGTCATTGCCTTCTTTCTCCCTAAATACTTCTGAAAAGGACTTGTGTGCATATATCCTAAGAAATAGGTGTTTAGGGAATTAACTAACTAGGAGTTATTGACTTTTGTGTAAAGCCATTATTTGAATTGTCCACAGAGCTTATAAATCTAAGATCCAATATGCATTTGCTTCTGTATTAAGAACATGTCAGTGATTTAAATCAAAACTGTCTAAGGTAGGAATAGAGCCATGATGTCACAAAATGCACAGAAATTCAGCTGTGCAGAAGCCTTGAGGCTTTATTAGGGTAGGTGTGTGTAGGTCAAATAGATGATGTAATTTAAATATGTTTTCATTGAGGCCATGGTGTTTAAGTTTGGTATTCCATATGATCCTAAGAGTCCTTAAATTTGAGGAAATCAGCCTGATAATTGTTCAATCCCAGGCTGAGGGCAGCAGGAGGCAGGAAAGGAGCAAGAAGCTGAAAGCCTGTGAGCAAACCCAGGGAAAGGCTCTAGCCTGGTGTTCATTTCCTAGAAGACCTTGGGCAAATCACTTTGCCCTTCTTATCTCTGGAGCCGGGCGGGACACTCCAGTGCCTTCAGGAGCTGAACAGGTGAACACGGTGCATGAATGGGCCCAGGTGGACGCCAGAGCCATCGAGGTACTCCTTTCTCAGGGACAGAAATGTTACCTGAAACTATAGGCCCAGGGCCAGTGGGTCTAATACTTTTTCAAGAGAAGCCAGAAATCAAGATATTTTTATCTTCTAACTTTTTGAATTTGGCAATTAATTTAGATTTTTTTTTAAATACTATGCTTAAAATGTTGGCAGCCTACTAGGTTGGCAAGGCCGTGGGGAAACAGACACTCCTGTAATTGTGGGAAAACAAAATAGACCCTGCGGAGGAGAATTTGGCTATATCTAGCCAAATTACATGTGAATTCACCCTTTATTCTAGCAATCCTACTTCCAGAAATCTATTCCAAAGATATAGTGACAGAAACTCAACAAAGGTGATGCTATGCTTTGTAGTACTGATTGTTACAATTTATAAATCTATACGGTATATAGAAATAAATATTTTATATAAGTATAGGTACATATGCATATATAAATATATGTATAGAACTATGTAATATATGGAAGGAACCCAAATATCCACAAAACAAAAAACTGGTTGAATAAACTATGGTATATCCACGTAATAGAATAGTACAAAGCAGTAAAAGCAAGTCAAGAATATCTCTGTATACTACTAGAAAGGGGATGGGGTGGGGAGTATAGCACTGCTGTTCTCAGAGTGTGGTCTCTGGGCCAGCAGCAGCAGCAGCATCATACAGGAGCTTGTTAGAAAGCAGATTCTCGGGCCCCACCCAAACCTACTAAAGCAGAAACTCTAGGCGTGCAACCCAGTAATCTGTGTTTTAATAAGCCCTCGAGGTAATTCTAATACTCAAGTTTGAGAATCACGGGCATAGCTTGTTTTTATTTATTCAGAAATAGGGGAGGTTATACCTATATGTAAATGTGTATGTTTAAAAAAAATTTTTAAGGATAAACTGTAAGATTAAAAATTGGTTCCTGATGGGGAAGGGAGGGAATAGTCTAGAATGGGAAAGATTAGAAGCCAGACATCTTTAAGTGTACATTTCCTTGGGGAGTTGACTTTGCAACCATATATCTATTTTACATAGTTATAAACCAAAGTTAAAGTTTAAAACAGTCTTCAAAGCACAGGGAGATCAGCTCGGTGCTTTGTGACCACCTAGAGGGGTGGGATAGGGAGGGAGGGAGGGAGTCGCGAGAGGGAAGAGATATGGGAACATATGTATATGTATAACTGACTCACTTTGTTATAAAGCAGAAACTAACACACCATTGTAAAGCAATTATACTCCAATAAAGATGTTAAAAAAATTAAATTAAAAATAAATTTAAAAAAATTTTTTTTAATTGAAAGCAAAATGAAACAATGAGTCTAATTGCATATCCAGTTTGTGGCATGACCACACAGAGGAAATTCCAATCAATTGAAAAATATGCTCTGGACAAAATACAACAAATGCATCCCTAACTGTTTTCAGTAATGATATCATATATAATGGTGTTGGTATTGTTATTCTGGAATTATTGTGTATATTGTGGGATAAAGCAAATGAATATTTACATTTGTGTCACTGAGAACTGGAATTGGCAAGAGAAAGAAAATACAGAGTAAGAATGAGGCTAATTAAAAACACTGTAGTCCTGAATCTGAATTACAAGAATTAGTATGAACTAAGTATGTATTTTAGCTTTACAAAAACACCATATTCCTAGCTTTGTCCACTGAAAAGGCCTAGGAATACTAATTAACCTAGTAGCAAGAGCATCCCTAAAACTCAGATTGTGGTTTCCACATACTACTTCCTACCTAAAGGAATCAGGGCTCTGCGAAGAATGAGTGTAGGGAAGTAAGTATACAAGATAGTCTGGAACATCTTGTCACATCAGAAAACAAGGAAGCAGCTGGAGGCTGTAGGTCACGAATACTCAAGAAGAGGCTCCTACTGGGCAAAGATGGGATCATTTGAGCATCAGTAAAGATAACTAACTGAAAACAACTGAAAATCGTGAAATATGTTTATATTCATGAAATCACAGTGATATAAAAAAAAAAAAAAACCCAAGCCCTTTGCAGGATGTTAGAGAACCGAGGCATTATTTTGAAAATCAAGGAAAAGAATCAAGCATTTATCCTGCCTTTCCCATACAAACCACAAACTGCAGGGTAACCAGTCTAAGGCAGTTCCTTTTCTGGAAAGATTTTGGCTAATAAATGAAGACAGAATAGTAGACTAGAAATATCACCATGTTGTAACCCCTCATGAATTAACAGATCTAAGCAATAATTACCAATGGTTATTTTTTTAAATAAATTTATTTTATTTATTTATTTTTGGCTGCATTGGGTCTTCGTTGCTGCATGCAGGCTTTCTCTAGTTGCGGCGAGCGGGGGCTACTCTTCGTTGTGGCACGCGGGCTTCTCATTGTGGTGGCTTCTCATTGCAGAGTATGGGCTCTAGGTGCGTGGGCTCAGTAGTTGTGGCTCGCGGGCTCTAAAGCGCAGGCTCAGTAGTTGTGGCGCCCGGGCTTAGCTGCTCTGCAGCGTGTGGGATCCTCCCGGACAAGGGCTCGAACCCGTGTCCCCTGCATTGGCAGGCAGACTCTTAACCACTGCACCATCAGGGAAGCCCACCAATGGTTATTAACATCACAGAAAGAGAGAACCAGACATCATATGCCTCCCGATTTAAGTGTAGTCTAACCTATGATGTACTCGGGCCAAATTATGAAACCTAAGTCTGATCAAACCTCTCCTAAACCACAAAGAGGAGGACAGGGGACACAGTAAAGGAAGCCATAGGGATGTGATCAGCAAACTGAGACTGTGGGAGACTCTGCAGGGCAAACCATCTGGTTTTTCTTCAACTTAATTGCAAGGGGAAAATAAGAGGGGGAATTTATAGATTAGAAGGAACTTAAGAGATACCAACAATATCAAGTTGCTGTGTGTGGGTGTTATTCGGATTCCAAAGCAAACAGCAAACTATAATTTAAAAAAAGAAAATAGGAATCCTGATGACAAACCCTCATGAGAGTATGGAGTTATTTATTTATTTTACATTTTATTGAAGTATAGTTGATTTGTAATGTTGTGTTTAATTTCTGCTGTACAGCAAAGTGACTCAGTTATACATATATCTGTTCTTTTCATATTCTTTTCCATTATGGTTTAACACAAGATATTGAATATTTAGTTCCCTGTGCTATACAGCAGGACCTTTTTCTTTATCTATCCTATATGTAATAGTTTGCATCTGCTAATCCCAACCTCTCAGTCCTTCCCGTGGAATTATGTAAATATGATAATAGCATTGCAGTGATGCTTCTTTTTAAAAGCCCTCCTATTAAAGATATATACTTTTTTTTCCTAAACATCTTTATTGGAGTATAATTGCTTTACAATGGTGTGTTAGTTTCTGCTGTATAACGAAGTGAATCAGCTTTACGTATACATATATCCCCATATCCCCTCCCTCTTGTGTCTCCCTCCCACCCTCCCTATCCCACCCCTCTAGGTGGTCACAAAGCACCGAGCTGATCTCCCTGTGCCGTGAAGCTGCTTCCCACTAGCTATCTATTTTACGTTTGGTAGTGTATATATGTCCATGCCACTCTCTCACTTCGTCCCAGCTCTGCATCTTTATTCCTGTCCTGCCCCTAGGTTCTTCATGACCTTTTTTTTTTTTTTTTGTATAAGTGAAATGATATTATGTCTAGAATTTGTTGATGAGGAAACCTGGAATATGATCATAGCAAAAGGCAAGAAGCCCCCATTAGTTAGCCAAATATTTAAGCATTTGAGGCATTGCTGCCACGCTGGACGCATACAGGTGAGTAGACTTGTATCCTGCTCTGAAAAAAATTTCAGCTTCATAGGAGAGATGGGGATTCAGTAGTTCAACAGACATTATGTGCCAGATGAACACAGTAGGGCCCCCTGTTGCAGGAACACAGCGTAGAGTGGGAGACAGACAGACATGCAGAAAATGTCATTATCGTTCGGCAAACGCTGCAAGATGGGCTGGTACTGGGTGTTGTGAGGTCCCAAGTAGGAGCAGTGGGCTCGGCCCAAGGACTCAGAAAGTCCCCTTAGAGGAAATAAAGCCTCAGTTCAATGTCAAGTGGCGCCTGGTAGCTACCCGATGAAAAATGTGGGAAAGACAGTGGGCAGAGAGAACTGCACATACAGGGCTTGAAAGTGTGCAGCGGCTCTCTTGTGCCCTGCACATGCCTCCAACGTGTTCTGACCACGTGATATTTAAATTTTCTACCTATATTTCTCTCTCACACTGCAAATCCCCCAGAGGACCATGAGCATCTGGGGGCAGAAACCCTACTGTCTTCCTCTTCCTATTTGCCCTCAGATTCAGCTAAACAGCGGATGCTCAGTAAGTGTTTAATGAACTCAGATGAGTTCAAGTGCACATGGATTCTAGGTATAACCCAAGGTAGATAAAAAGGCATGGATGAGGGCTTCCTTGGTGGCGCAGTGGTTGAGAGTCCGCCTGCCGATGCAGGGGACGCGGGTTCATGCCCCGGTCCGGGAAGATCCCACATGCCACGGAGCGGCTGGGCCCGTGAGCCATGGCCACTGAGCCTGCGCATCCGGAGCCTGTGCTCCGCAACGGGAGAGGCCACAGCAGTGAGAGGCCCACGTACCGCAAAAAAAAAAAAAAAAAAAAAGGCGTGGATGATTGCCACAGGGGCTCAGGAGACAGGCCAGTGTGGTTACAGGAACAAATTTAAAGGTATGAATGATATATCTTTTCTTTGTAATTGATTGTTGTTGTCTCTGCTTTTTTTGCCCATAAAATTTCTTTTGTTTCCTTGCAGAGTGAAGAGTTCCACATTTACACCCAGTATTGCACTAACTATCCGAGGTACGCCTTGTGAATGTGCAGGAGTATCTTCATATTGTTTTAAGTCAGTCTGTGCAGTGTAAGTTGTCGGTAGGCGTTATGTGCCTGGCACTGCGCTGAGTACTGTGGGGAAACTGCAAACATGCTGAGAACGGACCACAGGGTACCCAGATACTGATGCATTCAGGCGTAGGGACTCCCTAGCAGAGCCAGCACAGGGAAAAATTGTGAAAGACCTTAAAGGAGACCAAAAAGATCGTTAGGTTTCCCTCTGTGGAAAACTAAGTAAACCAATTGTGTTTGGCTAGAAGTCTTATCTATTAACCCTTTTGTATATGTGCCATGTTTTAAAGAATCTGGGATGCACTGCTAGTGAGTTTATATAATCTAGCTGGGGATAAAATATGTTATATTTTTGCCATATAAATTTTAGGAACTGCATAAGTTTTATGGAGTTCAGAGAAAGGAAAAAACATGATAAGCTTATGTGAGAAAAGAGGACTCATCACCCCACCCGGATCATTGCTTCAGTTTTGCTCACACTGGGGGTGTCGGCAAGAGGACCGTTTAGGGAGCAGCCTCTGGCCAATATAGTGACCATTGCAGTAAGGGAGTCAGGCCTAAGACCACAGCTCACACTGTAGGAAAGTCTTTTTTCTGCAAAAGACATTTATTGAGCACGTATTGATTCCTAGGTACTACGCTCAATCCTGTAAATACAAAATGTGGTTGAATTTAGTTTTCCCAGGAATCTAGAGATATTGAGGGATTAAAGAAAAGCAGAAAACAGAGAACACACTGACAGCACAGGGCCTGGCCCCTGATAGGTCCTCAGCAAGTGCTACCTCCTCATCATCCCCGCCCCATCCCCACTGCGTGGATGAAATCATTGAGCCTCCAACAGGTTTATTGATTTTACAAGGGTCACATAGCTGATAAGTGACCAAATCTGGCTGGGATTTGAACCAAAGTGGGTCCAGCCTCAAACCTCATGCTACTACATCCTTGTAAATTTTCTGAAGCTTTGTGATTCCCCTCACCCCATACCTTTCTGCTGTCTGTTTGCCCGCGTGACTAGCAGGACTTGAGTTGTTATGTTAGGGACGGACCGGGAAGAGAGCTCGGGGGATTTTATCTACTCTGTAGCCAGTCTTGGTAGAGGCATGTCCCTAAGGATAAAGTGGGTGGTGGGGTCCACCTAGAAGAGAAGCCAGTAGACTGAGCCCCTTGTGTCACTGTGTTCAGGAAGAACAAGCGGGTCATTCCTGCTCCGGGGCGGCCCTGGAAAGCCAGTGTGGATTAAAAGACATGAAGGCAGAGGCTCAGGCTTACTGATGGCAAAATACTTTCCATTGGAGGCTTTTCATCTCCTCCTCTAAATATTGGTCAGGATATCATGCTATGGTGATTTATTTGGTTGGGGGTCAAGCATGCTTTTCTCAGGTTTCCCTAAAAACAAAACAAAACAACACCCCACATGCAGATTAGTACATTTATTCATATCCTTATCTGTAGACCTACCCACAGTTTACACAGTTTCACTTAAGCAATGTTGTTTCCACCTCTCTCCTGAAGATATCAGGAAATTGTAGGATGCCCCAACTAAAGCTATGGTCCTTATGCTAAAAGCCAGCGTTGCACCACACCCTCATGCAGAGAAATCAAAGAATCAGCCCTCAACTTCTCCACAACACTTCCTCCTGTGGGAAAGGAAAAAACATTCCAACTCTGAAGAATCAACAAAATTCTGGACCCAATTATCAGGATCTAAGATGCTAGAGGGGCTTATTTGGAGGATTATGTCTGTGTAAATTTCATTATAAACATGTCATTTGAAGAAATATCTTCTGAATGTGCAATTTTGGAAGTTTATGTTAAGAAGAATTTTCTGACAGTAATAAGAACAGAGGGCACAGAACGAAGGCAGCTTTTATAAACTACACTGCTTCAGGGTCAGGGGATAGGCACAGTCATTTGTGCAGGACATTTCTGAGAGCCTGTCCTTCGTAGGGCACAAGTCCAAGCTTGGTGTACACTGGCAGGAAATAGGAACGAATATCCCTTGCCTTCTAGCAGTTTATATTGTTTTGAGAGTCGGAACTGAACCAAATGCAGTAGTGGAACAGCCGTTAGGAAAGATCAAATCAATGAATACAAGTCAATGTAGTACCAACTCAGTCATATGTAATAGAAGCTAAAGATGCATGAGATAGAGGAGGAGTAAGTCCCAGCGAGGAGAAATCAGGACAGTTTCCAGGAGGAAGTGTTTTTTACCTTGGGTCTGACTTTGAAGAAGGAAAGAAACGTGTTAGCAGGGAACTGCTCCCCAGGCCCTCTCAGTGAAGCGGGCACATCCTGTTCTTGCCCAATTGTGTGGTTTTCATATCCATAGAAAAAGATTTCTTCCTGTCCCCTTGCCTCCCATCAATTTGCTCTCTGAGGCCCGAGATTTCCCTCCCCCGTCTTCACAAGCCATGAGCGCCAGGTGTTTCAGCCCATCTGACAACGCGTCTTTCCCCTTCGGATCCAGGCTGGTGATATTAAATGTCTCCTGCACACCTTGACAGATGTCTTTCTTCATACCAGTCATGCCCCAGTGACTTTGCTGGGAAGAGGCACAAGCCCTCCCTCTTGTCCCCAGGGAGGAGCACAGACCCGCTCAGGTCATTGTTCTCGGATGTCTCCCCGTGGCCTGAATCCGGAGTTCAGTGCGCTCAGGATTTCTTGCAGGTGTCTTACCCTTGGGCAAGAACTCAAAACTTCAGATGGTTAGAAGGCCAGTGGGCAGCTGATTCTGACTCTAAAGAACCTTAGAAAAGTCCCCAGGTTACATGATGAAGAATAGTTTTGAAATCTTAAGGGAAAAATAAAACCATTTGAACAGAGATATTTCTCCAAGCAATCAGGCACGAAAGGGATTCTGATCGCTTAATTAGGAGACCTCCATCCATGTCACTTCCTTCCAAGGAGTTTTATTTTGTTGTTTGGCTCTGTTTTTCTAAATTAATTCTGAAAACATATTACTGAGTTGGGGAGAAAGGGGCTGAAATTACTTCCACCTGCTTCCTTCTAAGTTATGTGACCATAAGATTTTAATTTACGTGTGTATGTGCAACTATACTAGCCCACCAGCTTGCTTTATGTATAAGATATGAGCTTTGTTTCAACCATCCGTCTAGGATGTTTGGGGGCCGTACTTATTGGGGAGCTGAGGTGGAGGAAGAATTCCGACCTACTTTTCTAATATGCTCTGTAAGGCACGCTCCTTAAGGACCAAGGTTATCCAACTGTTTCAAAAGCTGAATGTAGAATGAGGCGAGTCACTTGGCGGTGGAAAGAAGGATCTGTTCAGAGATTCTCAAAGGAAAGTTCCTCGGGGGATGGGGTCTCCAAAGACCTGCACATAATGTCATGCACTTTGTGCATTTATTTAAAGGCAACCGGCAGAGGGGGTGGCAAACGTCCGGCACGGGGCTGGATCTACTGGGAAGAAGGCACTCCTTTTGTTTAGTACAAAGGTGCCCACTCTTTGCAATCTAACTTGAAAACTGAATACAGATGTGTATTTGAGCACTGCACAAAGATGCCAAGATGGGACATAATTAGGGACTAACGTCCAATTTAAATCCCCTTTGCAAAGCCCTGTGTCCTGGCAGGGGCAGCATCTCCCTGGAGGAAGGAGCTTCCTGCTTAGATGCCATGTGTCCATGTTTTACTACCTTCTTATAGTGTCTTTTTCTAATTCACCCTCCCAGAGGGACACCTTTTCTAAACCTGCCCAGAAGCATTCTAGCTTCTCTAGCTCTTACCTGTTTTAAGGTATCAGCACACTCCAGCGTTTAAAACTTGAATGCTCGTGTCAAGCGTTACAATTTAGATTTTAAAATATTTCTTCTTCTTGCAGATCCGTGGCTGTGCTGACAGAGTGCATGAGGAACAAGATGCTGGCCAAATTCTTCAGGGAACGTCAGGAAACTTTGAAACACTCACTGCCTCTGGGGTCCTATCTCTTGAAACCAGTTCAGCGGATTCTCAAGTATCATCTCCTTTTGCATGTAAGTTTCTGCCTGCGCTTGAAGGACTTTCTAGGGGATGGGGATTTTGTGTGTATATGTTAAGTTTAGGAGAAAAAAAAATCAGAAAAAGCTGTGGACATATGGAAACATTTTCCACACTCATACTTTACAACTGACTAATCTGCTTTGAGGAATTAGAGATATTTATATTCTAGGCCTGCAACCTCATTGACAACAGCCAAGTCAAAAGATTCATTTTGGCTCTGATGGTGATAGGGCTTAGGAGTGACAGTTTCAGGCAGGGAGCTATCATTCATGAACAACAGATCTTTTTGTTAGGTTTTATTTTATTTCCATGAGCCCGGATTCAGTAGGCAGTTGGGAGGGAGAGCTGTTTGTCATAGATTGGCTTGTGTAGGGGCAACGAGAAGGGGCTGAAAGGGGAGAAGACAGATGAGCAGCGTGATGAATGATCTTCGAGCTGGGCCTCCCATCATTTCAGGGTCTGTTTTCTTTATATCATTTCCCATTATTTGTACAAAATTCAAGGAGACCTTAGAAACAGAAGTAGACATGGCTCTCATACATTCTCATTTCTTATCTTCTAAGGAAGCTGATAAAAATGGGAAATAGTGTTCTTGAAAGTAATTTCATTCTATAAGTAGGATTGATTGCCTTTGCAACTTGAGAAAGACAGGATAGCAGAGAGGTTGGGAGCAGGGCTCTGGGGCAAGACTGCCCGGGTTCAAATCCTGTACATTTCCCACGTTCGTGGTGCCTCGCGGGCGGTCAATAAAAATGAGCTATTATTTTTATTTTATTATTTTTAATACTGCATTAAAAATCTTTTTTAAAAAAGATTTAAATCCAGAGCTCCTATGTGTATCAACATGCCTGCAATTTACTTGTATCACTTTTTAAATGATTCCAGGTTTCTAACTTGGATAGGCATTCCAAGATTGCTCAGTTCATACACATTTAAAAGTTTAAGAACTCTTTATGGTCCAACTTTACCAGAGATTTCTCAGCTTTGTCTTTTTGCCTGCCTGGCTCATCTTGGGAGAATCTTGCATCCTGTGAAGCCACATCAGGGATATTACTTTAACTGTTCGATTGGTTTTAATGACCTCTAAATTTAGTGGGATTAATTTACTAAATCAGTGTCCAAATAATTCTTTAAAAAAGAATAGCTTTCCCAGGATAGATCTTTCCTGGACTCTGCTAATATGGCATTTAAAACTAGTATGTCCCAGTAATCTCTGTTTATGGCTTTCTAGAGAGTAAGTCAATCAAAAGAAGAGTCTCGGACCTCCGTTATATAAGCATGTCAGATATAACAAGTCAAGATTCTTACAAAAAGTTAACTGCTAGGAAGAACAGCCCTTACCCTCTAAATTAAAAGCTGGTGTCTTAGTTCACGCTGCTATAACAAAATACCATAGACTGGGTGGCTTAGACAACAAACATTTATTTCTCACAGTCCTGGAGGCTGAAGTCCAAGATCGGGGGCCAGCATGGTTGAGTTCTGGGTTGCACACTGCCTTCTTCTCCTCATTTCCTCACATGGTGGAAAGAGGCAAGACTGTGCTCTGGGCTCTCTTTTATGAGGGCACTAACACCATTCACGAGGGCTCCACCCTCATGGCCTAACCAGCTCCAATGTCCCTACCTCCTAATACCAGCACATTAGAGGTTAGGATTTCAACATATGAATTTGTGGAGGGCACAAACTTCCAGCTCATAACAGCTGATAGTGAAGATAAAAGGGAAGAACAGTGGTTAGATTAATTTAAAACTAATTGCCTGGAGTATTTTTGCTTTTATAATTGGTTTAGAGTGTTCCTTCTATATCATGCACATCACTTCAAAGTTGTGTGGCCACCTGTGAAAATCCCCACAGAAATACACTCTGTACTTCTGAGTCTGTCTATTGATGAACAGGATTGCCTCTCAGACTAAAAGAAGAAGTGATTATTTTTTTAAGTTTTCTCTTGATCTTAAACTTACCTGGGAGTTGTTAGTTTAGTGATACAGTTTCATAGGACCTTTCTAACAGCTGAGTCTGAGTGCAGAAATAAAATGTAAATTCCTTTCCAGTTTCTAGCTGGATGGAAAATTTGAGGATTCAGTAAAAGTAAACAAAGTGTGACTAAAAAACAAGGGAACTAATCTTCATAATTTATACCATTAGATTCAACCTCCACCCTTGAGCTTAACATCTCTGCATGATAAGTGTCATAGGAACAGTCTAATTGACTCTAATATCTTCTTACTCTTTTAGATACTTACATTGGAATTTAGATACTTAAAACTTATTGTTGCTCTTTGAAGACGATACAGCTTCAATTAAATAAGCATTTATTTACCAACCCAGCTCTCTGGTGGGCACTGTTGAGAACATAAAGGACTAAAGGAACTATGCAATAGTCCCTATCCTTAGACTCCTAGGAGTCTAGGGACATGTGTCTTATGTACTTAGAAGAATTAGATTATAATCGTGTCCCCTTCTCACCTCCCTGGGATTGTGGAACTCCAGGGCTCAGATAAGTGCCGGTGTTACATCCTTCTGACCATCAGAGAGTGAATACTTGAACCATGAGATACCTCTCAGCACTCTGAAGGATTATCTTTAGTGAATTTCATGAACTAGTGAAAGGCTTTAAAGGCTTTAAAGCCTTGACAACATGAAAATGCCTTGCTGTAAAGGTATTTTTTTAATATAATATTCATTGGTTTTTGTTTTGCTTTGTTTTGAGGCCATTACATACTAAGCCCTGTGTGTTAGTTTTGCTTCCTCTGGGAGGAAAAAAAAAAATGTTTCCTATGTAGTAAGAGTGAGAACCATATTACTGAGAACTGTACTACACTGGCCAACAGGAAGTTCAGAAATCTCCAACTATAATATCAACTCTCTTATCTATTATAATCACTCTAATATCTCTGTGAGACTTAATGGCCTGTATACTTGTTTTGTTTCATCCTCCTTGTCAAATTCCTCCTTATGCAATTCTCATCGACTTCTATTTTTCCTAGCTCCATTCTTATTCGTATCTTACCATTTTGTTGTAGGTATTTCTGGTAGTTATCTCAGAATCTTAAGGAAAGATGATAGTGTGTAAATAAGCAAAAATAAAATGAGAAACTAATCACAGAAGTGCCTTTTGTTTCATTGAGTATATAAGAAAAAAATTTTGAAAATAACTAGGGTTGGGTGTTTTGGGTTTTTTTTAAAGGAAATAGAAAATCACCTTGACAAGGACACAGAAGGCTACGATGTGGTGCTTGATGCTATAGACACGATGCAGCGAGTGGCCTGGCACATCAACGACATGAAGCGGAAGCATGAACATGCCGTCCGGTTACAGGTGAGGCCTCAGGGTAGCAGTACCTGGTGGGGCTGCGGCCCTATGACTTATCATTTCCCAAATCAGATATTAAGGCTGTTCAGTGTTGCACGTCATTCATGGCCTTCATCATAGATCTCCTTGAGAAAAGATCAGGACATCGATAATACTGATCATTATTTACTGGCTATTAAAGAGAAAGGTACATTGTAACGTTCAAACTAATTGTTTGCTCATAGCCCCTTCCGTGACCCAAATTAAAAATTTGAGTCTCCCAAGGCCTTATTTTATATTAATTACCAATAAGCAATTCTTGCTGAAAGCAACTCTCTCCAAACTGCTTTTTTTTTTTTTTAATAAATTTATTTATTTTGGGCTGTGTTGGTCTTTGTTGCTGTGCGCGGGCTTTCTCTAGTTGCAGAGAGCAGGGGCTACTCTTCGTTGCGGTGCGCAGGCTTCTCATTGTGGTGGCTTCTCTTGTTGCGGAGCACGCGCTCTAGGCATGCGGTCTTCAGTAGTTGTGGCTCACGGGCTCTAGAGCGCAGGCTCAGTAGTTGAGGCACACGGGCTTAGTTGCTCTGCAGCACGTGGGATCCTCCTGGACCAGGGCTCAAACCCATGTCCCCTGCATTGGCAGGCGGATTCTTAACAACTGCGCCACCAGGGAAGCCCTCCAAACTGTTTAAAGGGATTTTAAGCCTCTGTTCCTCTCTCACTAGTTCATGCAAAGTCATGAGGTGGCGAACAAGTGGTGATGGGACGGGGACTCAGAGGAAGGAGAGCTGAGTCTGGAGCCAGGTCCTTGACAGTTTCACTGGGGAGGAGACTCACCACTGCATTTTAGATTCCTCACTTTTAAAATAAGACACGTTTACTAAGATCCCTTCCATTGTCAACATTTTGAGCCCTAAATTCCTGGGAACTTTGGATAGATGCTAAGTCAGCAATCATGTCCTGGGCATCTCAAAAGATGCATTATTTAAAAACAAAAGGTCACGTGGGCCCAGAGGCTAGTCCTAAGCTCCTTGTTGCCCCTGGAATAAAAGCAAAGCTCAGGGTGACTCCATGCTATGCAGAGCACCTACATCTGACTCAGGAGCGAAAAGAGCTACGCTCTTCAGGCCATACCTCTGAACAAAACGCAAGGTTTCGGGACTTCCGTGGTGGTACAGTGGTTAGGAATCCACCTGCCTATGCAGGGGGACACGGGTTCGAGCCCTGGTCTGGGAAGATCCCACATGCCGTGGAGCAACTAAGCCCGCGTGCCACTACTGAAGCCCGCGCGCCTAGAGCCCATGTTCCGTAACAAGAGAAGCCACCACAATGAGAAGCCCGCGCACCGCAATGAAGAGTAACCCCCGCTCGCCGCAACTAGAGAAAGCCTGTGCACAGCAGTGAAGACCCAATGCAGCCAAAAAAAAAAGCACTCTAGGTTTCATCTATAGGCAGCCAGAGTGTGGTATGACGCAACTGACTATCAAAAATCAAAGGAAGATGACATTCTTTTTATTTTTTTTATTCATTTATTTTTGGCCACGTTGGGTCTTCGTTGCTGCACACGGGCTTTAGTTGCGGCGAGCAGGGACTACTCTTCGTTGCGGTGCGCGGGCTTCTGATTGTGGTGGCTTCTCTTGTTGCGGAGCACAGGCTCTAGGCACGTGAGCTTCAGTAGTCGTGGCACATGGGCTCAGTAGTTATGGCTCGCGGGCTCTGGAGCGCAGGCTCAGTAATTGTGGCGTGCAGGCTTAGTTGCCCTGCACCATGTGGGATCTTCCCGGACCAGGGCTCGAACCTGTGTCCCCTGCACTGGCAAGCAGATTCTTAGCCGCTGCGCCACCAGGGAAGTCCAAAGGAAGATGACATTCTAATCTTCCAGGCCGTATCTGCTTTGTGTAGCAGTAAGAAAGGTTTTATGCTTCATCATTCAAGTGTTTTGTGGCATAACATCAGACATAATGTGTGTTAGATATTCAGAAATGGCTAACTGACTGGTTTTTCATAGCTAAGAGTCTGTCTAGCAGTCTGAAGACACCACTAAATCAGGCTCTGGCTCAGACTTACCTCCATTTCTATCTTCAACCAATGAAGTTTTAGGTGGTTTTATGGGCTGCTTAATTAAGTGCTGTTTGTGAATGTTTTCATTTTTCCAAAATAACAACATCAGCTTCCTTTAGAAACGTTGATAGGGATGTACAGTAAATCCTAAAGAAACTTCAAAGGCATGCTATCGATATTTATGAAGTTCCGTTAAAAACACAGTGGCGAAGAAACATTCATTTCCTTTTCCCAGATGAATGGGGATTAATATCAGGAAATTTCTGAGATGTATCTTGTGTGATTTTCCTCAGGTTTTCATTTTGCGTTACTTATTTGTGGTGTGAGTTCAATTTCTGGAAAGAGGTTTTTCAGGTCAGTAGCTCTGGGGGTGTTCGTCCAGAGAATGTGGGTGAGCACATCATGAGAAGGACAGCTGAGAAGGCCACACACCAGCAGCCTCCTTACCTGGCTTGTGAAAGACAGTTCCACTGCCTTAGTAGAGGGATTATGGAGGGATGGAAAGAAGTAATTGGCAACTCGTCAGTTAACAACTTGATTCATTTCTGTTAACCCTGAAGTGACACCAGCCATAAATGCAGACACATCAGACACCACACAGGGCCCTTAGCCCCTGTCGCAGGTATTTAGACACCATTCTTGAGGCTCAACAAATGGGCCCCTGTGTCCTCGCCGTCTTGCCTTCCCACCTCCTGTTTAATCACAGGGAACGTTCACTGTTTCAGGAGATACAGAGTTTGCTCACCAACTGGAAGGGGCCAGACCTGACCAGCTACGGGGAGCTAGTTCTCGAGGGGACCTTCCGCCTCCAGCGGGCCAAGAATGAGCGGACGCTCTTCCTCTTTGACAAGCTGCTTCTCATCACCAAGAAGAGAGACGACACGTTTACGTACAAAGCTCACATCCTGGTAGGTCCAAATAGAGGTCCCGGGCGAGGACTGGGGCGCTGCTTCCATCCTCTTGCGAGCCTGCCTCCCCCTCTCTGCCCGCCCCTCCAGTGCGGCAACCTCATGCTGGTGGAAGTGATCCCAAAGGAGCCCCTCAGCTTCAGCGTCTTCCACTACCAGAACCCCAAGCTGCAGCACACCGTTCAGGTACCAGCACCCCCTCGCCTCCCCGCCCTTGTGCGTCACGGCTGGAGGCCTTTGCAGGACTTTCTGGCCACCTCGCGTGTGTCCCATCCAGTCCGAGGGTCTTAGGAGTGTCTGTGTCTTGCGACTAGCGGGGTGGCGTGACTGTCCACATCTCCTCCCGGTAGGCAAAGTCGCAGCAAGACAAACGCCTGTGGGTTCTGCACCTCAAGAGGCTGATCCTGGAGAATCACGCGGCGAAGATTCCAGCTAAGGTAAGACCGTGAGGGCCGCAAACAGTAACACTGAAAGGAATTCAAGTCCCAGAAAGACAGCGTGACGGCAGCAAATGTGCATCTTCCAGATTAAGACAGTTGAGAGGCTACGTAAGGATCAACCGAACCAGCCATTGGTACTGAAACGATTCATATGTAGGGAGACTCGGTGGAGAGTTTTTGGTTTGTCGTTGTTCCTTTTGTGGCTTGAAAGAAGAAAAGTAAGGAAAAGACTGTAAGGGAATTTCTAGAGAACTAGTAGAACATAAAGGCAGTTATGAGAATTATTCAAAGGTGTGCTAAGCACCTGGGGCGGATAAAGCTGGCTTAGGCTCTGTGGGAAGCAAGACCCAGACTCAGCCGTGAAGGAATTTGCAGACCAGGGAGCTGGTCGTATAAATGATGTGATGAATTAATAGAGGTATAAGCCAAGTATTGTGGAAGAATAGTGTTCAAGTTTACAGTCGAGTGAGGAGAGGAAGGAAAATGCCTGTTTGCTCAGTCTTGAAGGATGAGGAATTTTTTTATTAAGTGGGGGAAAAGAAAAAGGGGAAACCAAGCTGAGAGAACAGGGTAAACAAAAAACAAGGAGGTGTGAACAGGGGCCCTGTGTTCACAGCACACAGAGTGTGCCCGGACGGAAAGGTCGAGTCCTCAGGAGATGGAGTAGGACGTAAGACTAGAAACGTGGAAAGCAGTCAGCCGGCCTTTGAAGGGCTTTGAACACATACACTGAGGAGCCTGGATTTTCGTGGTGGGAAACTACTGAAGGCTTTGTGCGGGGGGGTGGCATGGGCCGCCCTGTGTTCTGAGAGTGTAACTTTGGGACAGTGTGACGGTTCAGCTGGCGGAGTGTGAGTGGCGGCAGGAGAAGAATTAGCAGGCTTCCACAGTGGCCTAGAAGAGAGACGAGGGGCACTGCCAGGGAGCATAAGAGATGGGGGGAGAGGCAGAGCCCATTGTGGAACCAGAGGGAACAGGATTTTGCCCACCAAGTGCATGAGGAGAGGGAGAAATAAAAGTCAAGGATGAGTCAGGAGTTGGGCCAAGAGGATGGTGTTGTGAGTTCCAAGACGGGTTGCCCAGGGGAGGGACCGATTGGATGGGCCTCAGAGGGAGCAGCAGGGACACGTGTGCAGGGGCGGCTCAGCTGCAGGGAGAGACGCAGGTCTCTCCACACAGTCACCGAAGCCCCGAGATTTGATAGGAGGACCCACACAAACGTGTAAAGGAAAGACGGACCCCTGGGAATCCCAACATCTAAGTGACCAGCAAGGGTTGGGGGATTTGCAGAAGAACCAAAGGCAGAGCAGCGGAATGAGGCAGTAAGAAAACCGAAGGAGAAAAGTGTGGTAACAAAGGAAGGAATGTCTCCGAGAACGAGTGGAGTAACCATCTCAAAGCCTGCAGAGATGAAGACAGATTCGGACAGAAAAGTACATATTGGATTTGGCAACTGAGAGATAAGGGCGAGAGGGCGGTGGGTGGACAAGCAAGGGAGAAGTAAGGAACAGACTGGGTGTAGCCTTCTTTTTTAAACAAAGTTCAGAAGAGACAAACGGTGGTAGTTTGAGGGGAGGTAAGATCAAAGCAAGATGCTTTGCCCTCATGAAGAATAGGGTGGACATGTAGGCTAAGGGGACAGGGAAAGAGAACAGGAGACAGTAGAGATAAGAGGTGGAACACCCCTTGGAATGTGACCCCAGGGAGATGGCGGAATAGGATCATCCTTAACCCCCGAATTTCGGGGATGGGGGCATGTACTGTAAATACAGTCTAATAAAAACATTAGATCGTGAACTTGATGCTGGAAGCTCAAAACTTCTTATTTACTGAAAAAGTATGCAAGAACGGCTAATGCACGCCTCCATATGTTTGCAATATGGCTTTTGAAAACACTTAAAGGATAGAAGTAATCCCATTGGTCTTAGGAACCAGAAACTTGGTGCGGCTCCATACAAAGGTAATCAATCTATTCGCCTCTTCTACGCTAATTACACTATTTATATTCCCTTTACCAGTAGGTGTAGGGGTTAGTCTTGGAAAGGGTCAGAAATATCTTCCCTGAGCCGGGGGAGAAGAAAAATGAGAAAGGATAAACTTTGAGGTGGACTTGAGGGAACTGAAAGGGTTTGCCTTCACTGAAGTTGGTGGTAACGGCATCTACTGGGTGAGTGAAGCAAAGATGGGGCTGGATGTCCGAGGGAAAGTGGAGGAATTCAGAACACGTGCTAAAGAACACAGGCTAGGGACTTCCCTGGTGGCGCAGTGGCAAAGAATCCACCTGCCATTGCAGGGGACACGGGTTCGATCCTGGTCCAGGAAGATCCCACATGCTGCAGAGCAACTAAGCCCGTGCGCCACAACTACTGAGCCTGCGCTCTAGAGCCTGCGAGCCACAACTACTGAGCCCACGAGCCACAGCAACTGAAGTCCACGTGCCTAGAGCCCATACTCCACATAAAGAGAAGCCACTGCAATGAGAAGCCTGCACACCACAATGAAGAGTAGCACCCGCTCGCCGCATCTGGAGAAAGCCCGTGTGCAGCAACGAAGACCCGATGCAGCCAAAAATAAATAACTTAAAAAAAAAAAAACTAAAAAGAAAGAAAGAAAGAACACAGGCTAGCGAGTCAGTAGGGATGACTACAGTAATCTGTGAAAGGATCCTAGGCCCACTGAAGCTGGCCACCATGAATGTGTGTGTTGATCCAGCAACTTCAACATTAGTGTTGAGCCATGGGGCGCATGTGGGTTCCCCAAGGCTGAGGACTGGCAGAGCGGTGAGGGTGAAGGTTAAGTGGGCATGGGAAGACAGTGCCACCCAGCATCCCACCTGCAGTGACTGAGCATGATTTCCAGGCTGAGTGGAGGGTGAAACCAACCGGGAAGATAGGCACAAGTTGAAGGATAAGTCAGAGAACTGGTTCAGCAAGAGTTAAGGTGGAGAGATGGAAAGTACCGAGATCTGTAATTGAAGAGGGGACTTCTGGAGTCCTGCGGAAAGAGAGGGCACTTCTGGGTGATGATGAGGCTCTGGGGGCGGCTATGATTGTGTGTTACTCTTCTGGAGTGGAGGGATGGGTGATCAGAAGTAAAGTGGCGAGGAACTAAGGTGAGGGTGGAGAATGGATATCCACGTGTGCGGGGAAATGGTCCGTGCCCAGGCGAGGAGGAATGAAGTGGAGCAGTAAATGCGATGATGCTCATGAGACTAGAACTGGGTGGAAAATAAGGAGATCTGAGATTTCTGAGAAAGGAAAGTCTGGTTGCTCTTTGCATAGTTTTTGAAAAGTATTTGAAGCTTGTTCTCAGGGGCTATCAGCAGTGATTCGGTGCCCAGGAAATGAATGTGCACAGGTGTGTGCTTTGACTTAAGCATGAGTCTCATCTCATCAGGGTGTTGCGTGGTGTCAGGTAGCTCCTGCAGAGAGGCAACTGCATTTGCTTCATGGTTAGTCACTTGTTTGCTGGCCTTGTCACTGGCAATGCCCTTCTGAGCAATGGCAGTGTGTCTTTGATATGCCCCACCTGTTGTTTACCTGTCCCTGGGAAAATCAAAACTGCCAAAGGGCTTCTGAAAATCAGTTATTGGCCATTACAAAGTGAAACTAGGCTACAGACCTTCCTCTTTCTCCCACACTAGGGGTGTGTATTCCAAGCAGTTTTCCCTTTATATTTTATAATGGTTAATAGAGTCACAGTAGAATTGTGCTTTTTTGGTCCAAGTTCCTGACCCTTTTAGGTGTAAATAGATGTAAACATTCTATTTTTTTTAGCTACAGCTTCTTGAGCACACATACACTGTGCTGAGTACTTTATATTCTTATTTTACCCTTAGAAAAACACCTTACGAGAAAGGTCTTATTCTCCCCGTTCTAGAGAAATAAAGACAGAGGCTCAGAGACGGAAAGTAAACTGCCCAAGTTTATGCAACTAGTATACGACTGAGCCCAGATTCAAAGCCAGTTCTTCCTGGATCCAAAGTTGATCTTAACCACGTTATTCCTAGGGAAAATGAAAGCACACTTATTTAATATACTTTATCCACCATGAGCTAATGATAATTTTCTATTTTATTTAAGCAGGATTATTACTAAGTTGAAGTTTTCTCTCTTCTCAAGACTGTTTCTTATTTTCTTGAAGCTTTCAAACTATATTTACTCCTATCAAATAAAAGAATTACATAGTGGGAACAAACATCAAAAAATGTACCACCGGGCTTCCCTGGTGGCACAGTGGTTGAGAGTCCGCATGCCGATGCGGGGGACGCGGGTTCGTGCCCCGGTCCGGGAAGATCCCACATGCCGCGCGGAGCGGCTGGGCCCGTGAGCCATGGCCACTGAGCCTGCACGTCCGGAGCCTGTGCTCCGTCCGCAACGGGAGAGGCCACGGCAGTGAGAGACCCGCGTACCAAAAAAAAAAGATGTACCACAGTTCTACTGTTAACACAGCTGCAGAGGTTAGGTTCCTCGTAACCTCCTTCCATTCCTTTCATTCAGTGATAGTCTCTGGCTGACCCCTAGTGGAAAAATGTGGGAATAGACTTTTTTTGAATTAAATGTCAAGACCAGAAAAAAAAATACTGAGTTCTCGAAGTCAAGTTTATGGATACCAAGAAACTTGCTGGGAATTAGCCATATGGCCCATCTGTATACGTGGCATATAAACTAAATTTCATCCAGATTAGTTGGGAATAAGGTTCAGGTAGAGACTGTTGCATTTTATATATTCGCGTGGTTCTGCCAATGCACTTCACGGGAACTGAGCTAACGTTTGTGTCTGAAATTAACTTCAACTAGTAACCTCAAACTCTGAATGTATGATAGAAATATCAGTGTCATAAAAATCTAAGCATTTGTTTTCTCAAAACTCAGGTGACTGCATTGTTTTGTGGTTTGTTTTTTGTTTTTTGTGGGTTTTTTTTGGTTGCCCCTTAGCCCAGACATTTTTACTGTGATATCATCACATACTGTGACAAAGTATTAGTAAAATTATTTTTAAAGTTATTTTTAGCATAATGTTTGTAGGTTCCATTACACTACCTTGAAAAATGAAAATGACATGAAAGAGGCGAGAAAACCTACCTAGTTTTTTTCTTCTTTGAATCCTCAGCAAGATGGTTCATGTTAAGGCCATTAACTTTTCTTTTCACTGTTCCCTATACGTTGATAACATATGGCAATAATTACACAAAAAGAAGCCTCAAAGCAATAAAGTTCAGAAGCTGGGGGGTTGAGTCGGGGAGAAGTTTGTATGCAGAGAAAGCAAGAGACAAGGTCATCGGGGCCAGTCCCCTGCGGGAGTAAATGGTAACTAACTTGGGTTGAGTGCCTGTCATTTGGTCCTGGTAGCAACTTTGAAAGGTCGCTCCTATCTTACCATCTTAAGGTCGAAGAAACACAGGCAGGAATATGAGAGCACCTGCCTAGTTAAGTGCTAAAGCCGGGATCACAAACCATGTCCTCCAGGGTCCTTCTCCCACACCGCAGCTCTTTCTCCCCCTCTGGGAGATTCTAGGGCACACACAAGTGATGGTAGGTACAGGGGTGCTGGGAGAGTCAGCTGATGATAATCGCATAATATTTGGAAGGACAGGGGAACTGTCCAGCAACTAGTTTGCATTCAGCTCAGAAGACTTATAATGCCCCAAAGATACGGGGAGGGCTGCTGGTGTAGGTCCTAGGCCCTGTCCCTTGAGCCTTTGGCTCCATAGATCAGGGCTGGATTCAGTAGACTAGGGTTGGGTAGCAGGAATCTAGATTTTGATACGCTGCTCAGCCAGGTTTTTGAACCTTCAGTGAAAGTTTCTCTCTCTCCCTCTTATTTTCCCTTCCTCCTCCTACACCTCCCCGCCTGTGTCTCCTTCCCCTCCCCTCCCCCTCCTTCCTCCCTCCTTCCCTTCCTTCTTTCTCTCCAGGTGAGGGCTGTAAGCTTAGCTCTGGGGCACCAGTGGTGCAGCAGCTACCACCCACACGAGGACGGATGCTCATCTGTTGGAATCCCTTGAACTATATGTTAATGCCTAAAAGAAATGAGTTTTGTTTTTGTTTTTTTTTAAGCTTTTCCAAAACCACTCACTCAGGTGGGATAAGACCCGTATTAGGATTGGTAGTTTAAAGAAGAAACAAAAAAAGGTCATTGCAGTTATAGCTACACCTTCTTTCTTTCAGGCCAAGCAAGCAATACTTGAAATGGATGCCGTTCGTAAGTTTTGTTTTCTACACAATTTGAAATCTCATTGTCTCCTTGTCTCTCTCAAGTTTCTACAAGTTTATGGCAAATGTCCATTGTGAGAAAGTAGCAGCTCTCTATTCACTGTTTTAACAAACAGAGCCAGCAGACAGTATACCCTCTTCCTAACCCATTGGCTTGTTTCTACAATAATTTCTCGGTTCATCTGTGAGCTCCCCGACGGCTTGCCACTGGTCTCTGCATCAACTCACAATGTAAGATATGCTTCCAGGGTCACCCTTGCCCCACCTCTGCCACCACCAAAAATGATGGTCCCACAATGCATTTCCCACCTCACTCCATTAGCGGAAAATCTATGTTGATTTTCTGCAATAATCATGCTAACTAGATAGGTATTGGTTTTCCAGATGCAGGTCACATTTTAAAATCACAACTGCCCTACATATGTTATTGTGTCTCTGGACTTCTCATAGCAGTCAGAGAATAAATATAAGTGAGGTCTTATAAAATAAGACCTGTTCGAAGCACTTATCGCATCCTTGTGATCTCCCAGATTAAATAGAATTTAAAAAGAAGCAATAGCTTTAAAGACTTACAGCCAGGTCTGACAGAAACTTTTACTTAAAACTTTCTAAATAACTTACTTTTGAGGAATCTTTCCCCAAGAGCAAACGCTGATTCACCTACCCCACCCTACCCCAGCCCACCCCCCAGCCTGCTGGTTGTTAATTCTCCAGGGGGGGAAAAAATAAAGAAACATTACTGAAGTAGAAAAATGAACACCGCCACTGTCACTGAGATTCCCCACTGCGTGTCCGTGAGATCCCGAGAAATGATGCAAGGTGATCCCCACCAGAGAGCTGGGCTGGGGCTCCTTGCCCTGTGTTCTCTGAAGCCGCTTATTTTATTCAGTGGAAATCTCTCGAAGATTCTTTTTACTGAGGTATCGTTGATTTACAGTATTATATAAGTTACACATGTACAACAGTTTTTAAAGATTATACTCTAGTTGCAGTTATTATGAAATATTAGCTATATTTCCTCCACTGCACAATATACCCCTTATTTCTTCTATAAATATATATATATATATATATATATATATATATATATATATATAATGTATATAATATATCTGGGCGCTCTGAAGCGAAGGCAAGGTCATGGATGGGCAGGTGAGAATCAGGAGAAAAGATGGAGGAAGATGGGGATCCAGAGAGGTCAGCTGTTCCATGTGAGCAGCTACATTCAACATTGTTTATTTATTCCCAGGCTCTGGGCTAGCTCTTGGACACCATTAAGATTCTGTGAGCGCACGGAATGATGTGAAGCCTCTAACGGTGCTATGTGCCTCTCTGCCAGGCCAGGCCTGGGCCAGAGCAGCTCAGCCTAGGAAAATAACCTTACTTGCCCTACCCTGACTTTGGTCTCAGCTGGCTGCGAACAGAGCAGGCCAGTCCATTGGACCAAATGGCCTCTGACCCTGGAGAAGTGTATGTGGTCTTTAACAGTCCTCAGAACTTTCTTGCACTTCAGATGCCCTTGAAGGGCCGTAACCCCGATTTGAAGAACGCCAGTCTACGGCCGTGTCCTAAAATTGTTTACCCTCAGGCTTTAGGTGCAGATGATCTTTGAATACGCTGCACTACTTCAGGATTAGACCAGAGTTTCTTAATCCAAAACCTGTGTACCCCTTAGATGAAATAAAATGAAAACCCCTTGTCTGGGAAGAGAACCTAAACCATTCATCACATGTTCAAAGGAGCCACGTCTAGAAAAACATGGAGAGTCGCTGCCCGGGAGGACAGCTTCCACGGGGGCAGGAAGGGCTCGCCTCCCTCCACCGCCACGCCAGGCACCAATGCCTCACAAAATTGCTACCTAGAGGGAATTCTCCATTTGGTTTTACCTTGACAGGGCCTCTGTTGTGGCCCATCACCGCAGTCTGTCAGGGGCCTTGGTAGCAAGTTCAGCTGCAGGGATTTTCATGTTCATGGAATTGACTGACCACTGTGGGTCTTAGAGCTGCAGATGAGTCTGAGTGGGTGTAGGAAGTTATCACACCCTACACATTTGAACTAACTTTCTAGTAAGAGTAGAGCCAATGGTTATAGCTCTTTCTGCCAGAGAGTGAAAAGAAGAGAGTACAGAGAAAGAGTGCCTGTGTGTGCCTGGTGGGTGCTGGGCGGGGTTGGAGGAGGGGTTGCGGGCTAGCTTGCTAACACACTCCAGCAGTCAGTAAACAGAAAGTCTTGAGATGCGTATTCAACACGAGTTATGGAAGGAGGGATTCTACCATGCCTGACGAAAAAGAATAAATCCATAGGTATCAAAACAAGTCCTACCCATTTGCTGAGACGTTCCGGAACGCTTCCTTCTTATAGATGCATGTGGTTCTTACGTTACAGATTACCCAGGCTTCTGTTACAGTCCTGAGGGAGAGACAAAAGCCTTTTGTGGCTCTAAAGATGGTTCTGCTTCATATCGGCTAAGAAGAAAATCTGGTAAATAGGATGCGGTAATCAAGATAATTATGGGGCGTTAGTCGTGAAAGTCCCTTTCAGTCTGACAAAAAGGTATATTCTTTCCGGTTTCTGATCACACCGCCAGTTTGAATACCTTTGAGAATGCCTCCAGGTGGGGCTCTCAAGCTTTGGTTCTAAAACTCTTTCTACTTAACTCTCTATTTTCCAGTGAATATAAAAAAACATGTCAATCAACTAAGTTCACTTTGTATAGCATGTTATTACCATTGGCCTGCAGGTACTTAAATTCTCTTTACTATCGCTAGTGAAAAATTGTATCCTGTAAATGACGCATCCCAAAGAGTATTCAGACCTAAAATTTTAACACACATTTGCTAAACCAGACTTCGTGTGGTATTCCCTTAGCCCTCGGATTTTTTTTTCCATTTAAATCGGCATTTATTGAGTATCTACCTAATTTCCTGCACTGTACTAAGAACTGGGAATGTACGAATAATACACAGGATTCCTGCTTGCAAGGAGTTTGTAGTCTAGTGGGAGAGTCAAAAAAAGGTTGAATAAATACCAGTTCATACAATGGAGCTGTAGTAGAGGTTGAAAGGAAGAAAGAGCGGGGAGACAAAGGAGAGAGGTGAACCCTCTAGGAAGGAGAGAGAAGGCCGTACAGAGTAGAGGACCAGTACCCCAGATGGGATCTGGGAGCTGAGGAGCCTGATGGGGTGGGAATAGCACATGCAAAGGCCCTGAGACTTGAGCCAGCGTACCTTAGATCAGACAGCTATTGCCAGTTGTTTGGCCTGGCTGCAAGGTGGGCCGGAGGTAGAGGTGGGCAAGGTCAATCGGAAAGAGATGTGGCTGGAAGTACAGATTGGGCCCTGATCGTAGAAGGCCGAGTAGGCCACGCAGAGGGTTTGAACTTTATCCTGCAAGCTATGGAAGGATTTTAAGCAATGACATGTTTGCCTTTTAAAATGAGAGTTCTGGCTCGATGTGGAAAATGAAGTAAGCAGGGAGAATTGGTAGGAGGCTGTTCCTCTAGCTTGGGTGAGAGATGGTAAAGGTTTGGAATAAGACAGTGGTGATTGGGGTGGAGGGTTCCTGGGATCCCACAAGACCATGATGGATGAAAACAGGAGAAACTTAAAATGATGTCCTGGTCACTAACTAGGGAGGGTAATGTGAGTGACAACTAAGATAAGAATCCAAATGGAAGAGCAGATGGGGGAGACTGGTGAGCTGCGACTGGGACGTGTTGAGTTTGCTGGGTCTATGGGCATGTTGGGGACACGTCAGATGGACAGTTGGCATCTGAGACCTGGAGCTTGCGGTAGGGCTCTGGCAGAAGAATATAAAATTGAACATTATCCGCTTATAGGTGGTAGTTAAAGCTCAGAACATTGCTCTGCTAGTTGGTAGGGTTGGTTTTCTGTTAGGTGACCCCAGATCGCACAGCTTACTATTTATCCTACAGTTTTGATGGAGTGAATGTCTTGCTGCTAAGTATCTCTAAGCAATCAGGATTTAGGTGAATTTGATAGAAAATTTCTAGAGCTCAATTCATTTGCCCATAAGCTAATAATTCACTTATAAAGAAAAAAACTTGATTTGGTTTTGCAAATGATGCTGGCCTTATCTTTTCGCTCAGAACCTTCCTCAAGATCGCATAAAGTTTTGAAGACCAGCGGTAAGTCCTAAAATAACTTTCTTTTTTCATTCTTGTTGATATCCACTAAGTCAAACCATACACAAAAAAAATAAACACAAGATGAATTACAGATTGGCAGATTTGATTAACCCCATTATAAAATGTAAGGCTGAATGACATAAAACGTTTGCAGCATAGATAATGGGCATAAAAAGATGAATATCTGTGAATGTTGATGTTAAGAAATCCCATATATCAAAAAGAAAGGACAGGGTCTTCCCTGGTGGCACAGTGCTTAAGAATCTGTCTGCCAACGCAGGGGACATGGGTTCGAGCCCTGGTCCGGGAAGATCCCACATGCCACGGAGCAACTAAGCCTGTGCACCACAACTACTGAGCCTGCGCTCTAGAGCCCGCGAGCCACAGCTACTGAAGCCCGCATGCCTAGAGCCTGTGCTCCGCAACAAGAGAAGCCATCGCAATGAGAAGCCCGCGCACCGCAACGAAGAGTAGCCCCTGCTCTCTGCAACTAGAGAAAGCCCGTGCACAACAACAAAGACCCAACGCAGCCAAAAGATTGATTAATTAATTAAATCTATTTAAAAAAACGGACAAAGGACTCTTTTTTTAATAAATTTATTATATTATATTATATTTATTTATTGTTTCTGGCTGCGTTGAGTTTTCGTTGCTGCGCGCAGGTTTTTCTCTGGTTGCGGCGAGTGGGGGCTACTCTTTGTTGCGGTGCGCGTGCTTCTCTTTGCAGTGGCTTCTCGTTGCAGAGCCCGGGCTCTAGGCGCGTGGGCTTCAGTGGTTGTGGCATGTGGGCTCAGTAGATGTGGACTCTTTTTTGAAAGGCAGAGAATATAATCGGGCAGTTTCACAGAAGAAACACAAACTGCCAATAAAATTTACAAATGGTCACCTGTATTAGTGATCAGAAAAATCATACATTTCAGTGAGATAAATGGAGAGGAGAAAGCTGTGGGCTTGGCCAAAAGAAAAGAAAAACAGGCACTCTGAAACTGTTGGTGTATAAATTTCTGCAACCTTTTTGGAGCAAAATTTGTTAATGCCCATTTAAATTGAAAATGTGTATTTGCTCTTGAACCAAAAATTTCAAATTTTTCACCCATAGAAATTTCACAACGTACACTTCCTGTATAGAAGTGCTCACCCAAGTGAGCACAGATCTATGAGTATCTGTGTTCTTTGCAGAGTTTATATAACAAGACACCACATAAAATGCCCATCTAGTGGGAAATAGTTTTAAAAGTTGTAGTAAATTCTGGAATACTACATGGAATATTCTGCAGCTATCAAAAAGAATCAAGTACATATCTGTCTACTGATAAGAGTGTCTACATATATTTAGCAGGAAATTCAATTTTGCATATTGCACCTTTAAGAGCAAAAAAACTGTGCATTGTTGTGCGATTGGGGCAGTGGGCATGGGACCTGGGAAGATGAACATCAAACTTTTAAGTGAGGCTACCTCTGCAGGGTGGAATTTGTGGAGAGGGTTTGATCACTTTTTACTTTAAACGCTTCTGTAATTAAACAGTGTTGAAAGATGAGACACACATGATCAGAGTATCGTAAGGGTATATAGGAGGATGTGGCTAGGAAATCTCTCCCCACCATTCCTCTTGCACCCTTCTTAGCACAGTGCCAAGGTGACCCTGTTGATAAATGCTATATCTTCCATGAAAGCCAATAGAATATTTAAAAATTAACAGAAGCATAATCTTATGTTTAAGTGAGTTTCATGGGTTAGGGCATGTGGGTTATTTTTTCAGGTAATATATATTTGGGTGTGGGGAAGCTTTTGAAACATATTAATATGAATTGGTCCATTGCTCTCAGGGATTTAAGGAAGATACTTATCACTCAGATACATGTATGGTTGTTTTACATGTAGTACAAGATCTATACTTGGATAACTGAGAGGCATTTTCTAAAAGTTAGGTCTCAAGAGCCTAGAGATGCTTGGGCTTCAATTATTAACAATAAGTTTAAAAGCCCTATAAAATGTGAGTGCTTACCTATGTATGAGAGAGACATTTTTAATCCTCAAACTTAAAAGATAAAAAAACTTTTATTTTTCAGAAACAGCACAAGACATCCAAAAGGTAAGTACTATTGACATTTCTTATTTTGAAATGTTTACTTTAGGTGCCCTTTATACCTACCCTTTCCTTATATGTCTCATCTCCAGCTAATCTTCCAAGTGTAAACAATTATTTTACATGTTGAAATAGATTTAAGTTAGGGCTTGTCCTTATCGACTCTCCCTCCACCTCACCACCCCAGCTTCATCTCTCAGAACCAAGGCAATGATTTCTTCATCCTTCTGCCCCACCTCTCTATTCAGAAGCTATTACCTTAAGATGTGACACCCGGGCTTCCCTGGTGGCGCAGTGGTTAAGAATCCGCCTGCCCATGCAGGGAACACGGGTTCGAGCCCTGGTCCGGGAAGATCCCGCATGCCATGGAGCAACTAAGCCCATGCGCCACAACTACTGAGCCTGCACTCTAGAGCCCGTGAACCACAACTACTGAGCCTGCGTGCTGCAACTACTGAAGACTGCACGCCTAGAGCCCGTGCTCCGCAACAAGAGAAGCCATCGCAATGAGAAGCCCAGGCACCGCAATGAAGAGTAGCCCCCGCTCACTGAAACTAGAGAAAGCCTGTGTGCAGCGACGAAGACCCCAACACATCCAAAAATAAAATAATAATAATAAAATAAATTAATTTAAAAAAAAAGATGTAACACCCACACAGGGCTAGTGTGGTGCACCCCACATTGCCCTGTGCCTCTGTGCATATAACTGAGGCTCTTGCATCCTGAGTATTTGCTCCCTTTTCAAAGCATCAGACTTCAATCACAAAGATCCCCGTCTAAGAATATGGTCCTGCTGCTGGTATAAGAGGTGTGATCGTATGTGGTATAATGAAACGTCACTATATCAAGCTTTGATTTTTCTCCCTCCAATAAAAGGTTAGGAGAGGCAGAAGAAAAATGGTATGTTGTATTAGAAGATGTATATTCAAATTTATTACCTACGAACAATGCCTATTGTATCCTGACCTGGGTAAACCACATCCAGTATGCCTACTGATCAACTGGCTTACTTAACAGTGCTTAGGGGACTGAGCGCAGCTTCTTACTTCGTGCTCTGTAACTGTAGCAACGTGGCTGTGAAAATCTCCCCCGCGATTCTACGTGCTCCACTCCTTGGCACAGGGCCAAAGTGACCCTGTTAATAAATAATGTATCTTTCAGTTTAGACGCCTAAATGTCTAAAAATCAACATGGTCTTATCTCTAAGCTATTTGCTTAAAATTACGGCATGTGGATTTTTTTCAGGTAGTACATATTTCTGTTTGGAAGCTTTTGAAATTTATTAACATGAATTGGTTCATTGTCCTGAAATATGGCATGAGATTTTGATGTTTTTAATGTACTTTGTTTTCATAAACAAACACTGGGACGGTGCCCTTGTAAGGCAGCCAAGCTATGATCACGGAGCAAGCCTGGCTTAGTACCAGCTAGGGGAATCGCTCTATTAGTCCTAGAGATACAATCTCAAGAGCTTCTCGGAAACTTTCTACGATAGTGATCGAGTCAAGTCTCCATATGGGGACTAACTAAACCTTATACAATCTGAAGACAAGAAAGAAAGAAAACACCAATGTACTTTTTTCTTAGTGGTAAAATTCCATCTCCTAACAAAAATGAATGTATACTAAATGCAGGGAGAGATTAAAGAGATAAAGAGATTAACGTTTCTCCTAGAATATGCCTTCTAAAGCCGTGTTTGTGTGTGTGTGCCTGTGTGTATAGAGCGAGAGATAGAGGGAAGGAGAGAGGGAGAGACATTTAGCTCATATATAAACTGAGGATTAAGACATGGGTTCAAATCCATTTCTGCCGTTTATAAGCTGTATGACTGTATGCAAGTTGTTAAACCTTACCAAGACTTAGTTTCCTAATTTATGGAATTGTTATAAAGATTAAATGTGATATGTTTTTTAATGTGCTTAGTACAGTATTTGGCACAAAACAAGTGCCCCATAAATTAGCTCTTATTATGTGATTATTAAGTAACCGTAATGCTGAGAATGTGGAAAACTGTTCATCACGAGGGATCTACACTACGTACTTCTGTGCTGTGTCCAATCCATATACTGATTATTTCTAAATCTAACAGCTTCCTCAGTTCTCCTGATGATTTATTTGATATAAAATTTCACCTTCCAAATTACTGCTAACTTCACTTCAAGTGTAGTTACCTTTTGGGAATTCCCTGGCAGTCCAGTGGTTAGGACTCTGCACTTCCACTGCCGGGGACACGGGTTTGATCCCTGGTTGGGGAAATAAGATCCCGCAAGCCACGCAGCGTGGCTGAACAAACAAACAAAAAAAGTGTAGTTACCTTAAAAATATACTTTGATATTAACAATTCGGGGTTTCTAATTTTCTAAAATGTCTGGGAATTTTTCTGGAATGAAAGATTTTAAGAAGGTATTACTTCTGGCTGTTCACAGAATTGTTTTGTTACACTTCCACAGTGTTTGATCATGATTTAACTAGCTAATACTAACTTGTTTTATTTTATAAAATGTAGTTACTGCGTACCTATATTTTATAAACATTTTACCAGTGCAGTCTGAGTAAGAGGAAAAGGGAGAGATATTAAAGGGTAAAGAAAAAAAACAGAAGAGCCAAAATATAATATATATATATGTATGTGTGCACATATGTGTGTGTATTCATTTATTCCTAGTCTTCAAATAGTCCACATTTTTTTTTTTTTTTTTTGCGGTATGCGGGCCTCTCACTGTTGTGGCCTCTCCCGTTGCGGAGCACAGGCTCCGGACGCGCAGGCTCAGCGGCCATGGCTCACGGGCCCAGCTGCTCCGCGGCATGTGGGATCTTCCCGGACCGGGGCACGAACCCGCGTCCCCTGCATCGGCAGGCGGACTCTCAACCACTGCACCACCAGGGAAGCCCCACATTTTTACTATTTGAAAAAAGTGAACAAAAGATTCAATGACTAATTAGATGTTTTTAGCTTTAAATTTTTAATAGAAAAACAACATTCAGGATAAAATTTTATCTTTGCCCTCCCTGATAGACAGACAGGCAGGTAAGCAGACAGACAGACATATTAATAGGTGGATATTCCAAGGTACTATGTATCCCAATTTCATTGATCAGTGATGAAAAATTCTTGCTAATTTGACATTTCCAATAGGTTACTATAGTGTTTTGACCAGAAAATATACCCCTGGTACTAATTAGCTTGAACCTGTCAACCCTTTCAAATCTTTGAAGCTAATCCCAGTACCCACAGAGGGCATCAGAGGGCAGTCCACTCCCTGTCTGCACAGTTGAGCTCCATCAGGAAAGGTTCCAAGTTATAACAGACCCATTGTTTTCTCTGATTAAAAATAATTAATGTCACTCATATTTTACTCCCTAATTGGCATCTAAATATTGCTTAATTAAATGTATTTTGAAAGAAAGTAGAAATTTCATTAGCTCAGTAATGGATTAAATTAAATTCCTGCAACAAAGGCTCTTTTGCCTAGAATCTATAAACCAAGGCACTGCTGGTCAGGTTCATGCAGGTCTGCAGATTTAAAGGAAAACCCTTGGGGGTCTGCAGTCAGATCACCGACAGGGGTGTTTCTCGTAGACCGGAAACCACAGTAAGACCGCTAAGAATCAAACCCCAAATAGAAATCAGATACCATGGCCCTTGACACCTATACATGTTCATTTATATAATGTTATTTACCGAGAACACATCGGAATTATTAAAAATATCTAAGAGTTTTCTGTATTTAGCCAATTCCCTGCAGTGGGGAAAGGTATTTGGAGTCAAACCTGGGTTTACATGCCAGCCTTTCCACTGCTGGGGGAGAACATGTTACTGAATCCTAAGAGCCTAGATTTCCTTACTGTGAAACTGGTACAATCATATCTAATCCAAAGAGTGATTGTGAACGTTAAGTTTGGAGACTGTCTTCAAATGGCCTAGTCTATTTCTAAGCAAATATCAGTTCCTGTCCTTTCTGCTCCTTTTGCAAAAAATCTGATGTGCTTTTCAACTCAGTTAAAATCAACAATGTTTGGGCCTCCCTGGCGGCGCAGTGGTTGAGAGTCCGCCTGCCGATGCAGGGGACACAGGTTTGTGCCCCGGTCCGGGAAGATCCCACATGCCACGGAGCATCTGGGCCCGTGAGCCATGGCCGCTGAGCCTGCGCGTCCGGAGCCTGTGCTCCGCAGCGGGAGAGGCCCCAACAGTGAGAGGCCCGCGTACCGCAAAAAAAAAAAAAAAAAATCAACAATGTTTACTGATCATTTTCTTTAAGAATATCACAGTCTAGGGGGAGAGGCGATGTGTAAATACAGGAGAACATCCTAAGTTATGTGTCCTGTGGTGCTACAATTCAATCGATATGTCTCTATCCTCCTCAGGTTTCCAGAGAGGAAGGGTCTCCCCAGCTGACTTCAGCAGGGCCGTCTCCTGCCCAGAGGAACAGTCAGCGGAGCAGTTCTGCCATTATCAGCGTGCTTCGCGGGGGCGGGGCCGTCAGAAGCATCTGGACGGACCACCAGATCCGGCAAGCCTTGTTCCCCAGTCGGCGGTCTCCGCAGGAGAATGAGGAGGACGAAGATGATTATCAGATGTTCCTGCCATCCTTCTCCCCTTCAGATCTGAACTCTGCCCGACTGTGTGAGGACAGCACTTCCAGTCGACCTTGCAGTTGGCACATGGGACAGGTCGAGTCCTCGGAGACCCCCAGCTCTGGCCACAGGGTTGTGCGGCGGGCCAGCAGTGCTGGCGAGAGCAACACGTGTCCCCCTGACATGAGAAATAGGGACAGTGACAGCCCTCAGTACAGCTCCCGAAGGGAACTGCAGAATGACCCTAACACAGAGGGGCTGGACGGGATGACTCCCTTCGGGTCCTCTGTAGAGCTGACCATTGATGACATAGACCATGTCTATGATAACATAAGTTATGAGGACTTGAAACTGATGGTGGCTAAACGGGAAGAAGCTGAAGCCCCTCCCCCCAAATCAGCCAGGGACTCTGCTCGCCCCAAGAGCACCCCGGAGCTGGCCTTCTCAAAGAGGCCGGCAAGCCCAGAGAAGAGCCCTCTGCACCCCCAGAGAGATGGTGCCTCCCCAGGCCGGGAGGCGTGGAACCAAAGCTCACGCGAACTCCAGGTGGTGGAGGAGAACGTCTATGACACCATCGGGCTCCCAGAGGCGCCCTCCCAGGACTTCAAGTGCAGCAGCCTAAAACGTCCCAAGAGGAGCACCTTCCTGGGCCTGGAGGCCGACCTGGGGTGCTGTGACAGTCTGAGGGCCTCTGTTTCCCAGGACAGCCTCCAGTTCAGCGAGGACGAGGCGCCCTACCCCCCGGGACCCTCCGGTAACGATTATCTGAGTTTGTTCTATAACTCCTTCGGCTGCAACTTGTCCATAGCGGATCGGTCCATCTCCGATAAACTGTCTGAAGAAGTAGATGAGATCTGGAATGACCTGGAAAATTACATCAAGAAAAACGAAGTCAAAGCCAGAGACCGGCTCCTGGCGGCGTTTCCCGTTAGCAAAGACGACGTGCAGGAGCGGCCGCTGGCGGGCAGCGCCCCAGAGCTGGGCGCGCGCTCCCCACGTTCCCTGCCCGCGGGCCGGGCCCCCCTCGTGCCGCCCAGAGACAGGCCGGGGCCGGTCTCCTGCACGCTTGACCTAACCCCAGCCTCCAAAGACGGCTCCTGCCTGAGTCTCCACCGGCTGTCGCTGGTCAGTGACCTGCCGCCCGTGGAGAGTCCCTACGACGTGGCCAGCAGCAGCCCATCCCCTGCAGACCTGAAGAACCCTGACCCCGGCATGGACACCGCAGACAAGACCAGGAGCAGGGTTTTCCTGATGGCCAGGCAGTACAGTCAGAAGATCAAGAAGGCAAATCAGCTGTTAAAGGTGAAAAGCCCGGAGCTGGAGCAGCCGCCTGGCAGCCACATGCAGAAGCAGGTTCCCAGGGACCTGGCGGCCATCCTAGAAGAAAAGAAGCAGGGCGGGCCCGCCATCGGTATGTCTCCCGCGCTGCCCTTCTCCTTCCGAGGACTGGGAGAGAGCCGTGTTCTGGTTCTCAGTGTCCTTAGCACCGTGAGGGTGCTGTCACCCAGATGTGCATTCTCACAGAGAGACCCCAGACTCACTGACGCACAGATGAGGCCGGCCCTGCACCCACCACATCTCACCAGTGGGAGGTGATTGGGTCTGGAGGGTTTCCTGGTGTCTGTGACATCATCACTCCAGATGTGATATTTGAAGCAGTGTTCTCTAATATAATCTAGAGCTGAAATATAGCCGTCAGGTTCAGTTTCAGTGTGTTAGGAGGGGTAGCTGGGTAGCAGGGTAAGAGTTTAAGGTTTGGACGAATACGGAATAGGATTGCTCTTTGCTCCGGAATCCTAACAAAAACGCCTACTCATCCTAACAAAGACAAAAAGGAGGCCTTTTTGCATGGTTTCTTTTTAGCTGTTCACACTGTAACTCGGCTGTTTTCTCATGTGTTACATTTTCTAGTTGCTTTTTTGGAATAGCTGCTGTAATGCATTTAATACTGTCTCATTTGGTATTCTCCTGTATGCTTCCAAGAAGTTTAATTCTTTGAGTCAAGCCTCCTTTTTGGGCAGAACCAAACCAGGATCACGTGCGTGATATTGGTACCATTAGGGTTTAGGAATGAGAGGATCACAGTTTGGCTTTTCCTCTATTGTAAAGAAGTACATATCCCCTGGGTAGATTACACAGGGTTCTCAGTGGAAGGGCATGATGTGAATTAAGCACTGGATTGTCATGGAAAGAAAAAAAAACCTGAGGGTGCTGACTCTCACCTGAGGAGTTTTCCACCTCCAGACCCAGAGAGATTTCTGAGATTAGGGCCCAGGAACTGAATTTTTTTTTTCAGTGTGGACTTTTGATCCTGTTTTAAGAATCCCAGCCCTAGATCTTCTGACAAAGCATCGTCTCTGTATCAAATGAGAAGAGACAGTTCTCCAATTAAAAATAAAAACCAGATGGCTCAGTATCAGGGCATGTTTCGTTGGTTAGCTTGGTGGCGGCATGGCTCATCTGGCCAACTTGATGACACCTACCTCCTTTCTTTGGGACTGCTTTCTTAGGTGGAAAGCAGAGAATCAGAAGGGGGTATCCAAGTCCTAAATGGACTCACAAGTTGCATGACAAGAATCTGTAGGGAAAAAAAGTTTTTTTAAGTTTGGGAGTATTTAAGAATTACCTAAGTGTACTCTTTTTCCAGAGCTAATCGCACAGTAATATTTCTTAACACATAGGGAAGTGAAGCCCTGGAAATGTTACCTGAAGGATTTTACAGACCCTCTGTGACTTGGCCTTCTTTTTAAGTTAGATAAAGGTTAAATGTGATTTTTATATGAATGTGAGAGACTAGATCGCATATATTTTTCTCCTTGCAATAATATGCTTGAATTAGTCCCTTTTCCAACGCTAGTGTTGCTAAACTGTTGTTACACACAGAAAAACTGACTGAGTTCCAGCTGCAGGCGGACTGTTTTGGAGTACAGATGGCACTAGAAGCAGTAGTGTGTTGGCAATGAAACCACTGACTGAATCTGGGCTAGGGTGCCTCAGAATGAGAGAAAATATAATACTGAGGTTTCTGATGATGATGGATTGATGAAGCCAGCAGACTGTTGTTTAAAAAGTGGTAATTGCCTGAGGCCGGTTGTTTGGAATGTGGACCATCCCTTAACATGCGAAGCTCCAACCCTGGTAGAAGCAAGGTCTTCAATACTGAATCATTAGGGCTTACAACTACCTTGAATAGTCTTTTTTACCCACCTTTTAAGTATGAATAGATTTCCCTTTGGGGTTTTCTTTTGCTCCCCCCCCCCCTCCGCTTTTTGTTTGTTATTTCTGTTTTGGCTACTCGTGTCTTCTTGGGCTCCTGTAGGATCATAGCTCTGTGTCTGGGCCCTTTCTTGACATGGTGGGCTACTATCGACATTCTCTCCAAGAGAAGATCTCTCCAGAGTCATCTTCTGAGCCAGCCAGTGTCTCCCCCTGCTGGCTGGCAGGAGCGTGTCCCTAGGGCCTGCCATCTCTCAGACCTGAAGAATCTTCCATCTGGGTGGATCGAGACCACTTCCTGTGCCCACCAGGCTTTCAATCAGTTGACGTGATGACTCCTTTTCTCTCTCTTGTTTATCTGGGCACAGGACGTCGTAATCGAATGGACCGATTCTCCAGACTTCTCCGTATGGGCCTTGCCACTTTGCCAGGAGCTTGCTCTCGGTGTTGTACGGAAGGAGGGGCGCCCTATTCACCTGCTGAAACTCTCCAGCACCTTTATTGAACGCTCCAGCCGGGGTCTACAGGCCCTGGGCCAGACTTCCGCCTGTAAATCACCCAACCAGGTCTAGCCCCTCCCACCTTTTGGAGCCTGTTGCGGCATGCCGCCCATCTTGTCCCATTATGCCTCACTCCTGACAGTCTTTGAGGCCAAGGAAGCCTTTGGGGTCCCCCCCACACTCCTTGTTTTTTTGGTGATGTTCTCTGTGGGAGAAAACTCCATACAGGCTTGAGGAATGTTCCTCCTTGTGTAAAGTAGGGAAGGCAAGATAACATTTTATGCTTTGCACTACATCACAAGCAACATCAGAAATGTTGATTTTAATCTCTGTCTTGAAAACAGTATAGTTCATACTTCTCTCAACAAGGATCACTTCAAATTTTTATCTGGAATGATAAGAATTCTACCTTCTAAACTTACAAAAGAGGAATAAACCAGAGATAGCCCTGACGATGTCGCATCATAATAATGTACATGTTCTATAAGGACGATGAATGCCAGAACTAAGAGGGGGAATTTTGATCCAGCTGACTAATACTAAGCTTTTTAGGCTAGAAGTGTCATCTTGGGCCGGCTGTTTCCTGTACATCTGACTAAGGGTATCTAGTTAATAACAGCCATTGCTCTGGAAGCTTGTCTCACGTTCATGTTGGCATCAAGCAAGTTATAGACTCTCTTAGAAGGTCAAGCTGAGACCAAAAAAACAAAAACTTAGATCGGCACAGTATAGTGTCTACTTGTGAGGTACTTTCTATTCCAAATTTATAAATGGTCAACTTTTTATTATCCAAAGATAAACTGTGCCCATTATGAGTTGTCTATAATATATATGTTTACATAGCATTTTACTAAAGGCTGTCTTCCTGCTTCCCCATTTCCTGCTGTGCCCAAATCATACGCTGCCTTTCCACTCTCCGTGGTACAGTCTTGGAGCACATTTATTCTTAACACTGTGTTTAGAATAAATGGAGGCAGTCCAAAAATTATCTGGGTAATTAAGTAGTTCTTGAGACCAATTTCTGCCTAGAGCTGTGCTTGGTTTTCTGTGGGGATTGTTCTCCAAGATTAAAAGCTCATGGACTAGATGGAATAATAAACCAGCTTAGATACAATAACTAGCAACACAAGATTGTGTGCAAGCATGCGTACACAACCAATAGCTAAGTATTATGGTGCATATAAGACTTCAGAGAAATCAGTTAGAAAAGGATTCATAGAAGTGATAAAGCGTATAGAGGGTCTTGAGAGGTAAATAGGATTTGATTAAGCAAAGGAAGAAGAAGAGAGTGTGATAAAGAAGAAACAGGCATGAGAAATACTAGGGCTATTTTGGATAATACATGGTTTCAGATGATCTGGGCCACCATGTTCCAAAGTCAAGAGCTATTTGTTCTTACAAGACTTTACAGTTAAATTTTGATGCTGCAATAGTTTAACTGAATTTTTTTTGATTAGCTCTCACTGCTTTCTCTCAAATTGTCATTTTCTTGGAACTTTGTAGAAGTTCAAAGCCTTCCTGATTCAGCTGTGGGATCAGGCTCAGAGCCACAGTGTAGGTGAGAATGGCTTGGGAGGAACCGTCTTGACTTTGAGGTGGGACTGCTAACCAAAGACAAGCCTAAAGGTCCAGCTACCACTGGTTGGGTTTCATAGTTAACGAAACATTGTATATTTCAGGAAGGCTAACAAGGGCACCTTAGTGTCTATGTAGACTTTCAGTCTGTTAAGGGGTTACCAAATCTTAATTGGTATTGAGAGTCTTTACTATGCCCTTTAAGGAGTAATAGCTCAAGTTTTTGTTACTACAAATTCTAAACTAATAATCTCTGTCCTTCCAAGCAATTTGGACTTGAAAGTCTGAAGGCTCTGAATGAATGTAGGATCTATAATGAGAAGATAAACACTATTTATTCTGATTCTGGGGACTAAGGGGCAAGGCATCTGAGGGAGTTGCAGTTAAAGGGCACACAGAACATTGTTTTCTGTCCCCATAGAAGGCAAACTTGAAAGAAACAGCAGAAACTCAACTAAATATTTAGTTTAAATTCAAGGAATAATTTACTAATAACAGGTTACTAAAAATATAAAGAGGAAAAAATTATAATGTCACTTGCTGGTCATCATATATAGAATAGATGCCCTCTCTAGAGACTGCGTAGATGTGGTCTGAGTGATTTATAGGATTCATGGAATTCTTTGATTCTAGGGTGGTCATGTGGGTACCTGGATTGGGAGGTGGGGGGATTGGGACACGGCTCTTAAAATGGACATCTCTGGGCTCTCTCTTTTTAATCATTCCTGACCCAAGAGAATTCTCTGTATCTATATCATGGTTCTGTTAATGTCTTTAGAGATGTCTGTACTCAGAAGTGAAGTAGAGAGGATAGTGGCCTCATAGCTTAATTTGAAGGGGCAATAGCTTTCGTGGAAATAACGGTAAAACCCTGTTCTGCAACCAGTACTAGAGAGCATTAGATTATGGATTGTGTGCACAGGATGGTTCATTCTTAATGTCTTGGAAGCATAGATTTCAGTGCCTGGCTTCTCGGTGATAGGAAAGGAGGTAAGGATCAGTCAGTACATGTGGTTTTTTTTTTTTTTTTTTTTTTTGCGGTATGTGGGCCTCTCACTGTTGTGGCCTCTCCCGCTGCGGAGCACAGGCCCCGGACGCGCAGGCCCAGCGGCCATGGCTCACGGGCCCAGCCGCTCCGCGGCATGTGGGATCCTCCCAGACCGGGTCACGAACCCGTGTCCCCTGCATCGGCAGGCGGACTCTCAACCACTGCGCCACCAGGGAAGCCCAGTACATGTGGTTTTGAAGGGAGGACCTCCTGTCAACATCCTGAGACAGTGGCAGTGGAGGGCTGCCTGGAAACAAGAAGTGCGGGAACAGCCACCGGGAGCAGATTCTGCTGGGAGTAGTTGTCCGAGAGCAATCAAGACCAGTGAGGCAGGGGTAGCCATGGCAGGGTGGATTGTAGTCATGCTTCTTTTAATGACTACTTGAGTTATTTTTCATTGACCAGGGTTTAAGTGCTGACTCTTATTTTTATGTTGCCTGTTTTTAGCACTGACACACAATTCCATGCTTGTAAATAACACTAGAAATTGTCATTACAAACAGGGAACGCTTGTGGACCTGCTGTTGAAATAAATAAAATAATCCAGAATTAGATCAAGTGAAGTTTTAGGTGGCTTTTTTATTAAACGGGATGATTTTATTAGTTTGTGTTGCTTCGTATTTGATGATTTCTTATCCTCAAACTTAACTTAAAAGTCCTCTCTACCGTTTAAATTTTTTTAATATGTTGCTAGAATGTTCTTATTTTTTAAATCTTTGCATGTAGAAATGATCCTGTATATATTTATCATTTTAATATTTGCCTTCCAGGTGCCAGGATTGCTGAATATTCCCAACTGTATGACCAGATCGTATTCAGAGAAACCCCCTTTAAGACTCAGAAGGATGGCTGGGCCAGCCCTCAAGACTCCTCCAACCTCAGCTCTGCGTCACCTTCCCACACCCAACGCGGTAGCGAGGATTGGCTTTTGCATTCAACCTATAGTAATGGAGAGTTAGCAGATTTCTGTCCCCGGCCAGAGCAAGACTTGAAGTCAAAATATCCCACTTTAGAGATCAATACGAAAAGTACCCCAAGACAACTGTCCGCAGCTTGCTCCGTGCCTTCTCTCCAAATCTCCGAGCCTCTGCTGGGCTCCGTGCAGAGACACAGTGTGGTGGTCAGCCAGCCCAACAAAGAGAACTCCTGTCAGGGCCATCTTTACAACTCTCTGGGACGGAAAGGAATCAGTGCTAAATCTCAGCCTTATAACAGGTCCCAGTCATCTTCCTCCATCCTGATAAACAAGTCCTCAGACTCCATCAACTACCCTAGTGAAATGGGAAAGAAACAGCTGCTGTCTTTACACAGAAGTTCAAGGTGGGAGAGTCACCAGGATTTGGTGCCAGGTATCGCTGACTCAGGTCAACAGGGCACTGAAAAACACTCAGATCTCACACTCCAGGACTCACAGAAAGTTCTGGTAGTAAATAGAAATTTACCTTTAAGTGCCCAAATAGCTACCCAGAACTATTTTTCCAATTTCAAAGAGACTGAAGGAGATGAAGATGACTATGTGGAGATCAAGTCAGAAGAAGATGAGCCAATAAGCAGCAAACTTGGACCATATCTGACATCATACAATGATTCTGACAAACTGAATGACTATCTCTGGAAGGGGCCACCTCCCAATCAGCAAAATATTGTCCAGTCTCTAAGGGAAAAATTCCAGTGTCTTAGTTCAAGCAGCTTTGCCTAAGTTTCTTAAGAGTAGCTGCCTGAATTAACTTCTTACTGTGCTCATGAATTAGAGATACTGAGAGATGTTTTGTATGTACCAGATTAGAACAGTTTTGTAGTAACCAGAGATGTAAAGTATACTTTCTTTAACAGCACAACTTTTTGAAACAGCTGGCGATCCAGCCAGGATTGTACTGTAGCAAATGTTAGCATCTAACACTGTGTTTTCTGATGTTGATGGGCTTCGTGTTTCATGTAAGTCAATCTTACTTGAAAATTTTAGGCTTTTTTTTTTTTTTTAAACATGATGGCCATGGTATTTTTTCCCATATCCTGACAGTTAGTGCCCAGACTTTAAGAAATGCAATAATCATTTCCTATTATCCAGAAGCCACAGGTATACTAGGACTCAAAGGCAGCAAGGAGGACTTTTCACGTTTTTTAAAAAGAAAGGATACTAAAGCTGTTTAAAGGATTATGCTTACCTCTGACATTTTTGTTAAATTTGTGCCAAGACCCTAGAGTAACTTAAACGAGGGATCTCTAATTGGAGTATTGTCTAGGTGCCCATTTTAGGGTTTCTATGCTGGCATTCCTGCATCTAGTTCATTATAAGGCAGAAAATATGTAACTATTGGAAATTAGAATGTATCATGACCAATTTTCTGTAAGTAAAAATCCTTCCCTGTCTTCCTGAACGAGGCCTGCAGAATGTGCTGCTCATCACTTATTTTACATTTCATGGGGTTAAATGAATGATTCCCTTAATGGTTTAAAACCAAGTGCAAGAAAATGCAAATTGACTTATTAGAAAAGATGGGTTGACATCTGGGTACAACTTGATTATCTCATTATATGACAGTTGGGAATGGGGAGAAGATAAAACCCTTCACTACTTTTTGTGCCTGTTTCTAATCAACACGAAGTAAACCATAAACTAAAATAAAGCAAAGCGCTTTAAAGCTACTCTTCCCAGAGCAGTTTTTCAGATGTCCTTTCATGAATTTTATACTCAGCCAGATGACCTGGTCCCAGCCTTGAGAATTTTATTGACTGTAGTGAAATTTATTTTCTAATCCAGACATAAAAAGGGGGTCTTTTCTCATTGTTTGGGGGCATATAGAAGAGCAGAATCTTTGGTTACTAAATTCTGACTAATCACATCTTTTAAGTTGTAATTATGGTCTTTAAATAGTGGGTCATTGTGATATTATGTACTAATACAACTCTTTATGGAAGGAAACAAAAAGAAAAGCAAGACCTTGTGAGTAAAACACAAAATTAAAGAAGCTAAAGAGAAAAATGAAGGCAGATTTATTGCCACTTTATAAAAATATTTTACTGAAGACTCCAATCAATGTAACAAGGATGTTTTCTCAAACAGTGGCCTTCGCATTCTCACTTTAAGCCATTTTACATTCTGTGGCCTCTTCCCCACCCTCTCAGTTTTCATCTTAAAAGATATGATAATCTGTGTAGGGAAAGGGGATCTGGGCTTTTCATTTAAAGATAAGCAAAGATATTGATTTGAATCAGTGACATCTACCATAATTCTTTTTCTCTCTTTAAGTGCTATGCCTCTTTTTCTTAAAAACATAAAATGTGACCATCCTTATTTTATACACAGGTACCTAAGGCATTCGTTTTCCTTTTTAAGTAACAAAAAATAACCTAATTTTCTTCTTTCTCCATACTGTACTTTCTTCTTGTAGCTTAGAAAACAAAGTCCATATTGACGAACATTGTTCTAGAACCATTCCTTCTTTCATTGCCCTCCTTTAAACATGGTATGAGTTTTCAAGAATAAGCAGTATCAGAAAAGAGAAGCACCGTAACTGAGTATAGATTCTCAGACTTGCTAGAGGTATTTGTAAGGGCGTTTACAAAACAAAGTTACCTGACTTTTCTTGTCCCGGGAATGCAGTTTCCCACTTCTCTGCTTTTTGGTTTGTAAGACCCAAATTCTGTATTATCCATGTTGCTGTGGTGTCTTCCTCTCAGAAATTATTAATTCTCCACACCAATGTCCTGTTGCACGACTTTGATGTCACTTATAGGAACACACCCTGCTGCACGGAGGCTGCTGTCATACTGTATAAAATGTCTGTATGGTTGTCTTTAGGTTCTAGGACAAATCTGCAGTTCTATACATCCGTTCTGTCAGCCAGGATACAGATTTTGAGATCTGTGTGTATATATATAATCAAGTTCGTATTTTCCCTCAAAGTTATTCAATGAGTGCTTTCGTTTAAAATAGTTTCTTCGGGAGGTGGGGTAGGGATGTATATAATTGGGGGAAAAGAGTTATATGTACTTAAATGGATGTCAAGTTCTTACTAGGTCTCTGTACTGAAGGTTCAATTTTTTTTTTTATAAGTTCACTTTTCACCTACTCTATTCTTTGTGCAAAAAAACCCCCCAGAAAAACAAACAAACAAAAAACCATGCATCTAGGAAAACATAGTTTAAATACTGTATATATGATAATGAAAGTTAGTAATGCTCATTATTTAATAAAGTTTGTAAAGTACAAAGTAAAATACAGTGTGAATTAATGTGTTAATTCTAGAAAGATCAAGATTTTGCTGAACTATACTCAGTTATAATACTTTGCCTTATGAGCTGTGCAGAAAATGGTTCAGGGTAGAATTCCCTGGTGGTCCAGTGGTTAGACCAGTGGACTCAGAGCTTCCACTGCAGGGTGCACAGGTTCAATCCCTGGTCAGAAAACTAAAATCCCACAAGCTGAGCAGCATGGCCAAAAAAAAAAAAAGAAAATGGTTCAGGGTAGTGATGATATACCATGTTTCAGTGGCCTTGTGACTGACCATTTTCTGTATCTTTTGATTACTTTTCAAATATTGAATTTAGCCTGGGATTATCATACCCTTCTCTGAAATTCCCCTTAGACCGAGTGCCTTTCCAGGTAACTGGTTTTGATGGTGTGAGGTCATAGAGCAGTCTGACTTGCAGCTGTGGGGTTAAAGTCAGGTGAGGTGGAGGGGAAGAGCCCAGAATGCTGAAGTTTTTTTGGTGCCAAAAGACAAACTTGCCCACTTTACTCTGGTGGTGCAAGCCACGGGCAAAGCTCACTTCGCGTATCTGTGAAAAAGAACAAAGCTTGATTTTCCGGACAATAGCTTATTCACGATGCATTGTACAATAGGAAAGGAAGGGAAGCAGTTCCACTTCATTAGTTCTAAAACCATGTCTATTCAGCTCAAACGTAAAAGAACAGGGCTTGGACAGTAAGTAAATCATCCGCTCTGCGGGGCAAACACAAGCCCCCAAATATTCTGTTGTTTGTATGGCTCTCCATATAAGCATCACAAGACCATGGGTAAGCAGATTCCTTCTTGTATAGACTAGTTAAATCAGAGGCTGTAAACTGGTGGCCCAGAGTCTGAATCTGGTTTATACAGTTTTAAAAAGGTTTAATATGAAAATCCAGATTTCCGCCTTAAAAAAAAATTATTAGATCTAGCCTGTTTGGGGCTGGCTTCTGATGAGGTGACTCTGAGATCTGAGGATGGAATTTAAAGGTGAAAATCATCCTGTAAGCCAATAGGGTAGCAGATCCCTGGAGAAAGAAACAGGCGAGGAAGCCATTTGGGGCCTAAGCCATTCTGGGAGCTCAGCCTGGCCAAAACGCTCTCCTTGAACAGGTCTCAGTACTTAATGATCTCAAGGGAAACAAAAGAACAAACTGTTATTAGGCAAGAGAAGTAAAAACAGCAAAGTCCTTATCAGTTGTAAGGACTCCCAGTTCTCTTTCAATGGTAAAGATTAGCCTGACGCCCCAACTACCTGAAGCCCCGAACATAAGACATGACGTTGTCGCGCTAGCTTCCTACCTGTTTGTCTTGCCAGTTTTCCCCATTTTCAGACTTGTGCACCTCCATCCTCCCAAATCTTAGCCAGCATAATATTTCTAGACACAAAACAATCCAATCTTCTACAAAGTCCTCCAAATCTGTCTCTGCCTTTACAGGAGCTGCTCCCTTTGCCTGCGTGACCCTCCCACTACGATCCAGGAGAAAACATGCCAGGTCCTCAACACTCAGCTCAAAAATCACTATTACGAACTGTGGAGGGTCTGGGATTTTACTCAGCTCGCACGCTAACGAGTTAGCCTGCCTCTGTATCAGAGGTCGTGATCACTCCCGGCAGGATAGGCAGCGCAAAAGCATTGGTTTCCCTCGCTTCTCCAGGCCCCCGGGGGCCTGCAGAGCATCCCAGGTATGTGCTACACGCACACAGTGGGTAGGTTTCACAGCTGAGGAATACTGGATTTAGGAATCTTTTATCTTAAAGAGCTACTGGCAAACCTGCCCAATCTTTGACCCTGGAGGGAGGCATTATCTTTACACTGTGGGCAGCAAACATATCTGCCCTCTGCCCTGGAGGGAAACACTCTCTATTTTCCAAGGTCGTTTGTTATGCAAATATCCTTTCAACACTAGCCCAGAACAAGACCGATTGATACAAGACAGGAAGAGATGCAAAATGCTGGAAACCCATTGAGAGTGTCTCAGAACAATCACATTGTTACCCCAAAATTGGGTTCCCCTCTTGGTGGGTGTCAAGCTAAAAGACACAACCATGCCAAAGGTCCGGAGAAGGATTTATTACTTGCAACAAGTAAGGAGAACACCAGGGATCTTAGGCAAAGCAGTGTCTCCCCTAACAGCAAAGTTGGGGAACTGTTTAAGCTAAGGGTACATGCATATTCATGAAGGGGCTTGAGCAAGAGAATTCAGCATAGAATTGGGGCAAAGGTCAACAGAGTCCAAGCTTTAGTTGACTGAAGTCAGAAAAGGTCAACATCATCATCCTTTAGGTTCCAATTGATCTGTTGGAAGCTTCTTGTGACTCTCCAGGTCTAGGAAGGTGTTTCTTAACACTTATAACTCTCTGAAACTTAAGCTTTATAGCTTTCCATCAACATGCCTGTGTTCTACTATACAGTTCTGCACAGTAAACTCTGACACCCTGACACCCGAGCTTGTGTCTGTCTTGTTCAAAGTTGATTCCTTCACCACATGCCTAGCATAGAGGCTAGTATAGAGCAAATGCACTCTCACTCTCTCTATATACCTATAAATATCATATTAACTTCAGATATATATATTCCTTATTCTGGAAACAAACTTTCTTTGACCTATGTCCAAATGTCATCTCAAAGTGCACTGAAATTATATCCACTAGGGAAAGAATGTGAGTTAATGCATTTTTAAGGGCTTCAACACAATAGAGCCCTTTCTCCCAGGGTAGTTGACTTTTCCTAAGTAAACCAATATATATTGGAGTTTGGGATAAACAGATTCAGACATATCTATCTCCACATGAGATCCTGACACTTCCCCATGAAACAAACCTGGGAATATGAAAGATCCTTAAGTTTTCTTCCATAAATCTTTCTCCCTTTCCTATCCTCTCCTACAAGTGTGTATTATGAGTGTGTAAGAACCCAAATAGCTCTCATCTGGAATGACTTCAGGGTGGGGCCCAAGAGGCAGTTGAAGGTGAGCAGAGGACAGAGGCCTCCATGGTCATCCACGTGAGGACCTGAACAGGTTGAGTAAAATACTTT